AAGAATTGGCAATGTCTGGAGTGCAGTAAACTGGAATCAGTTGTGGCATGTGTACTGCAGCCATCTGGTTTATGGCTCTGTTGGTATAAGGTTGTTTCCCTGAGAGGATGTTTCTCTATTGTAGGTACTTAGAAGATATTATTCTGATGATGGGGTGCTTACCTTTTTATCATAAGCTCATAAATACTTGCTCAAGGGAAGATGCTCTCTTTTTAGCCTTCACTATTCTTGGAAGTACTTGCAGTCTCTGCTGCATGGGTACACTTCCTTTCTTGGCTGAAAATGGATGGAGGGATGTTCTTTAAAATCCCTGTAGCATGCAAAGCTTTTGGAAAAAGAGACCTTTTATATCTTGCCCTGAGCACTGGTGTAGTACTAACTAAAATACAATGGGTTAGGCAGTGTTGGTATCAAAGGAAGAGTAAAGCTGTGGATGGATGTGTAGGATACCAAGGAACAGATGTAGAGAAGTAGGCAGAATTATGAAGAGGGTAGAAGAGAAGGACGTTACGCTAGCAAGATCCTAGTGAAAGGGGCCCATGCAGTTCTGGGCTAGCATTTGAAAAGCCATAGCAATCCTCTTCTGCAAGTGTGTCTTGGGTTTTTTTGTAGTGATGCTAATCTAGTCATCGGTAGATTACAGTTGAACCTGAGAAAAGAAATTGCCCTGGGATGTCAGAATCTGGTCCTCTGGAGAACTTGACAATGAGGAAATGAGATCTCAAGCTTCAAACTACTGTTGAACATGAAATCTGTGTTGTGTGGTTAGCCATATGTCTTTATTAGTGCTTCTTTGTGGTACGCTGGAGCAACAAACCTCAGAGAACTTCACACAGGCTATCAGGGCTGTGTTACTGAATGCCCTGCTTTTGGTACTGTTTTGGCTCTGGACGTCTTGGTTCACCTCTGGAGCTGTTCAGTTTTGACTCAGGACTGGAAGTCAGGTATGTTTGTTGCATTTTGGATGAGGAACTTGTGTGTGTTGCATTCTGAATTCAAAGACTGAAGTCCAGAGACCAGCCCAGTTAGTGAGACCGATTAAGTCACTCTTGTGATAATCATCTTGGCTTCTGGGTTGAATGATGATTAGACACTATGGTGATGAACACTTATTTGCTCCCAGAATTCTATGTAGGAAAATATTTGCACAGGAGGAGGAAGGATACCTTTATTTGAAACCTGAATATCTATTTTAAGTTTCAAGAATATATAATTTCTAAGCATTATCCGCCTACTGAACAGCTGTCTTCTATCCTGCCGGTGTTGCTTTCTTGACTTTTTCCTGTTAAAGCATAAGATAACAGCACTGGTGGTTTACTAATAGCTGTATCAATACAATTCCCAATATAGACATGCTGCCTTTCTGTTTCCAGTCATAAATTGACTTGCAATTCTGTCCTAGAGAGGAAGAGAGAAGGAAAGCCCAGTACCATTTGTATGATACTGTACATGGTACTTGTATATTCCCATGCTTTCTATTGCCATTTACAGGATTACTTGAAAAGCTGAATCACTGGCCAAAATCTTCTTTTTGCAGCTGCATAAATATGACCTAAGTCCAACAGCAGGAAAAGCATCCTCTGCCATCCAGTATAGTGACATGCTTTGGGTTTATATCACATACATTCTAGGTTACTAGTCCCCCGATGGTTGTTTTGGAAACTGATGGGTTTGTACCAACAAGTAGGTATTAAAATCAAGAAACGAATGTGTTGTTGAGACAGAGGGTTTGTCTGTTCTTTAGTAGTCCATATTGTTAAATAAGGTGCCTGTCTGATTCTCGCTTTTGCATTGCAGTTCAGGTGCAACCTCTGCAGGGAGAGAGAGACCTTTCCCAGGAAAGGAACGACAGAGCCTTCTTACCTGGGCAAATTATCTGGGCTGAGTGGGGGAGCAGCATGGATGGAGGTGGCAGGAGTCATCTGAAAATCAGGAAGCAGAGCCAAGCCTTAGAGATAGCAAAAGAGAGGGCTCTCTAGGTGTCTATGTGACATGGTGTCCTGGTTTCGGCTGGGATAGAGTTAATTTTCTTCCTAGTAGCTGGCATAGTGCTGTGTTTTGGATTTAGCATGAGAATGATGTTGATAACACACTGATGTTTTAGTTGTTGCTAAGCAGTGTTTATACTAAGTAAAGGACTTTTCAGCTTCCCATGCTCTGCCAGGTGCACAAGAAGCTGGGAGGGGCACAGCCAGGCCAGCTGACCCAAACTGGCCAAAGGGCTATTCTATACCATATGACGTCATGCTTAATATATAAGTTGGGGGGAGTGGGCTGCGGGGCAGCAATCGCTGCTCGGGGACGAGCTGGGCATCGGTCAGTGGGTGGTGAGCGGTTGCATTACTTGTTTTTTCCTGGGTGTTTTTCCTCTCTCATTGTTTTAATTACAGTTATTATTATTGTTGTTGTTGTTATTTCAATTATTAAACTGTTCTTATCTCAACCCACAGGTTTTCTCACTTCTACCCTTCCAATTCTCTCCTCCCTCCCACTGCACAGGAGTGGGCAAGTGGCTGGGTGGTGCTTAGTTGCCAGCTGGGGTTAAACGACAATGCATGGCTTGCATGTCCTGCAAGCCAGGATGCCCCAGACTGCTGCTAGCCTTTCAGAGGGATAAATTCACTGTGCAAGGTCTCTGGAGGTGGTGGGGATGTTAAACATGTTTTCAGCTACAATTCCTCCATTTATCCAAATGTGCATTCTAAAGCATCATTTGATGCTCCTGGAGTGCTTGCATTAAGGCAATGATGCAGACCATGCCACCCCAGAACTGTGGTAACTCTTGTCCCATCTCAGTGATGAACAGTGATACATTTATATTTGCAAGCTGCCTGGCTAGTAATTTGTTTAGAAAACGGTTCAGAAATAGAGCAGTCCATTCATGCACAACACGAACTCTTAATGTTTGAATTTGGTTCTTAATTTCCTTAAAGTCAGAAAGGTCAGGGCAGGGTTGGTTTCTTTGGATCACCACAGATTTTAGAATTCCAGCTAGGAAAGGCAGATTGGTTGGTTGGCCTTCCCTGATTTCCCAATAATTTTCTGTAGCTCTGCATATACTGTGTAAAGTCCACCTTCATCCCCAGAAGACCTAGTTCTGTTAAAGTTGAATAGCACTTTTCTGAAGTTCAAAGTATAGCCCCTGGTATCATTTCGGTTTCATATTCCTTTCATAAATGTTGGGTGTACAGCTGGATGATTGCCTGATACAAGACATCACTTTGGGTGGTGCTAGTTCTTCATCACCGGTGAGCAGAGACAGCAGGGACTGAGTAATTAATTCCAGAATTTTGATTTCATTTCATCTTAAGCCAACAATAGGAAACTCTGGGGCAGATACATTTTATTGTACTAAATGAAATACTGAACATCAAGCCTCTAGCAAGTAAAATGAAAAAAATAATTACCAGGTAATGTGGAGTTATGGCTTGTTTTATAGCCAGGTCTTTAATAGCCTGCCTTGGTATGCAGTGTCCTTAATGAAATTCTGAAACTTCAGCGGTCACAGTCTGTTCCAAACTGTGTTTTTATTCTTTTTGGTTTGGATGGTGGAAGTTATAATTGAGTTTTGTTTCTTTATTGAAGTGAATTTAGTAATGGTGAAAGGTGTTAGATCGAAGGCCCTAGAAATGGATGTCTTCAGGCAGTGTTAGTCACTGGGCACCCTGTCAAGCCTGCTAACATGGTTGCCTGTTATGTTGTACTGCTGGGGGTCCTTTATGTGTGTGTGTGTTTCTAGAATTTTATTCGTATTTGGTCACGGCCTGCTGAAACGGTTTCATATGCAACTTATATTAAAGGTGCTCCAGATACCATATTTGCCCACTTCTTCCAGAAGAAAAGTTTTATGTATCTTTGTGATTAATGGCTTCCCTTTCACATACTTGCACCTGCTTTATTGCATATTTTTAAGGTAATTTAATATTTGGCGAACACCTGCATTAAGATAATTTTTCTGGGACAAAGCTTACTTTAATTAAACTACCCCAGAAAAGAAAAACAAGCAAAACCATATTAAACTAAACAGAAATACTATGATTGAATGTGTTCACAGGACTTTTGTACTGGTTTAACTTAATCTGATTTAAGATCATAACTTGAAATCACTGCAGACTGCATGTAGAGAGGCTGTGTGCAATCTTGGTTTCCTGCTTTTCATTTCACACCCTGGTTTGTCTACCCTGTTAGTTCATGTCCGTGCTTTCGTTAATGCATGCCTCACATCTGACTCAATAGTCAGTGGCTGAATTTTGACAGCAAACATGAGTGTCAAAATTGAATAGGGAGTAGTTGGTTGTGGGAGCATATTTATCTCATAATTATATGAACTTTTAAATTTTGTAAGAAGTATCTGCTGAAGGGTAGGATGGCCCTGCAGAGGGACCTGGACAGGCTGGACCAATGGGCCAAGGCCAACTGGTTCAACCAGGCCAAGTGCCGGGTCCTGCACTTGGGTCACAATAACCCCATGCAACGCTACAGGCCTGGGGAAGAGTGGCTGGAAAGCTGCCTGGACAAAAAGGACCTGGGGGTGTTGGTCGACAGCCGGCTGAACATGAGCCAGCAGTGTGCCCAGGCGGCCAAGAAGGCCAACAGCATCCTGGCTTGTATCAGGAATAGTGTGGCCAGCAGGAGCAGGGAGGTGATTGTCCCCCTGTACTCGGCACTGGTGAGGCTGCACCTGGAATACTGTGTCCAGTTTTGGGCCCCTCAGTACAAGAAGGACATTGAGGTGCTGGAGCGTGTCCAGAGAAGGGCAACAAAGCTGGTGAAGGGTCTGGAGCACAAGTCTTATGAGGAGCGGCTGAGGGAACGGGGGTTGTTGAGTCTGGAGAAGAGGAGGCTGAGGGGAGACCTTATCGCTCTCTACAGCTACCTGAAAGGAGGTTGTAGTGAGGTGGGTGTTGGGCTCTTCTCCCACATAGTTAGCGATAGGACGAGAGGAAATGGCCTCAAGCTGCACCAGGGGAGGTTTAGGTTGGAAATCAGGAAAAATTTCTTCATGGAAAGGGTAGTAAGCATTGGAACAGGCTGCCCAGAGAGGTGGTGGAGTCACCATACCTAGAACCCTTCAAAAAACGGGTAGACGTAGCGCTTCAGGACATGGTTTAGTCTAGTCTACCCTTAATTGTTTTAGTGTGGACTTGGTAATGTTAGGTTAATGGTTGGACTGGATGATCTTAAAGGTCTTTTCCAACCTAAATGATTCTATGATTCTAAGTATGCAAGTGACCAGAGGCCTCTCTTTTTGCAGTTACAGTTAAATACATATGTAGTACAAAACCCTATGCCTGGTTCTTGTGATTCCATCTGCTAGATCCTGTACTAGTGTCCCATACTTATGATGGCCCAATTTTTTAACTATTGAATTTGCTGTCTTATAGGTATTTGTTATAGTTACTATGCCTATGCAATTCTAAGAATGGATTATTTGAGTTGTCTCCTTACAAACTGATGAAATAGAGTGGGATCCAGAGAGGCACTTCGGATGCCTCCAGCTTGATGCCTGATACAAACAGGGTGGTTCCCAGTGGAAGAATGAGACATAGATTGTGTTGTGCTGAATGGGGAGTCCCGTGGCACACATCAATAGGAAATGCTGACTGTGTTGGCCCATCTGAACTTGTGCTCTTCCATCTTGCAGAGGTGCAGCACTGAGTCAAGCTTATAGATACTATTTCTAATGGAGGTCCTATGTCCTCTTCTTAGCACTTGCCCAAGCAGGAATTTATTTATTCAAAGCAATGTGATGAGAGGAGGGTCATGATATCTGCTGTTACAAGAAAGAACCTCATTTCTGGGTCTTCCTCAGCTGCAACGATATTGAACTCAAGCCTGTTGTCAGGAGAGTGACCTGGTCCCAGGTTATAGAGGAGTCTGGGTGCACCCATTCCATTATACCCTCCCAACTCCAAGTGGTCCAGATTCTCTTGTGTGTATGTTGAAATGGCGGTGGGGTCTGACTGTAAAAGTCAATAGCAAGAGCCATCATGTGGAGGGTAACTCATGACTTTGATCCTGCTGTCCACATTCAGTGAAACATGACTTTGTGTTTGTCTGTTCCTGATGAGCATTGTGTACTTTCTGGTGCACAGGAGCAGCGGAGAAGAGCTCAAAGCATGGAGCTGAAGACCGAACCCAGAATTTCATCATGGCCATGAAGGATCGCATGAAAATCCGGGAGCGGAACAAGCCAGAGATCTTTGATTTGATCAGAGATGTGTTCTGTGAGAGCAAATTGACACATGCTCAGCAGATGAAGACAGTGAAGCAGAGTGTGCTTGATGGCACCTCAAAATGGTCAGCAAAGATCACGATCACGGGTGAGTGAGGGAGGCATGGGTCCTCTTGGCCTCGATTGGGAGCTTAAGGTAAGAGAGAGTTGGTGTGAAGCTAGAGAGAATGGAGAGGAAGGGCTTCTCTGTCCTGTACACTCCACTCAGTGTACAGGTAGCAGGTGGAGATACTGCTACACTAGGCACTGTAGTGCACCATGAGCTAAGACTCATCAGAAGGACTCTCATGAGTGATATTCCTGTTTCTCTGGTCAATCTGAGCTGCTGCTTCACGTGTTGTGTGGACACATTGTTTTGTTGCATGGTGGTCGTAACCCTTCTCTTTTCCTTCCAGTGGTGTGTGCCCAGGGTCTGCAGGCCAAAGACAAGACTGGGTCCAGCGATCCATATGTAACTGTTCAAGTGGCTAAAACAAAGAAGAGGACAAAAACAATTTTTGGGAATCTGAACCCTGTTTGGGAAGAGAAGTTTTACTTGTAAGTGCTCTTTCAAGGACTGTCACCCCCATTTTGCCAGTTTGTACGATCTGTACAGATATGTCTTCTCTGTCAGTATGCATTCCCACACCACCTGTAATGTACGATGGTTTCATTTCCGCTCAGTGTTGTGTGTGTGTGCGTCTGGCGGGTTGATGTCTTTAACAGTGTACATAATGCACACCTGTCCATTTCATCTGTCTTTCTTGTGTATATATAAATTGTCTGCTCTGTGAACACTTTTATATTGATGTTCCTAGAGAAAGCTAAAGAGAAAGGAAAATCTTTAACTCGGCAACTTTTGTTCCTGGCTAATAGACATACTTTCAAAATTCTTTGTAATGGAGTAAAGTTAGTATAAAAGACTAAGCAAACTTCCCATGACCTATTGCTGTGACCTGCTTCTGGTGTTTGACCAACAAAGGTTAAAGGTAGGTAGTTATCTGTCACTTGTCTGTGCCACTGCCAGTCTGCCTTCTAATTCTGGAAAATCAATGTAACAATAACTTGAGGGATTATCTGCTTTCAAGATGAGCAATGTATCCATGTCTGAACTGAAAGCAAAGGCTGGAGGCACAATTCTTTAGATTATCAACTACTCTCAGAAGGCTGAAGAATGTATTATTCTATCCTGCTTTTATTGAATAAGTAAACAGTACCCTCAATGTATCATTGAACATGTTAAAAAACAAAACGGAGACATGAAATCCAGCAAGCGTTTTCTGAAGATTCTGGATGATCTCATTGAACCTCAAACATCTTTATTTCCTTTAATGTGTAAGCTCTTCCCTTGTCCCTTCTCTCCCTTTCCTTTCTTTTCTTCCCTGTTTTTTTCCTAAACTGCTTGGGGCCAGCTCTCCCTGCAAACTGAAGTTTGTGTTTTAAAATCGGGCTTATATCAGCCTAGCTTTGTCTTTACAATGCACAGTACAAACAAAATTATTTTTAAAGTAGTTTTGAGCTACTCATTAACGTCAGAAAAATCTTGGTGCTATTTTGAGTGAGTAAGCCCTTGGCTTTATTCTTATTTTAATCCAAGGTAACATTACTGCTTGGTAAGTAGTAAGTATGCTTAGGTGCCATTTGGATAACTCTAGTCACAATAGCAGTGAGTCTGTGTGGGAGCCTTAAGGACCTTGACTTACCATGCCAAGTAGTTACCATGGTATTTGCAGTGTGTTCCCTTCTAATTTTAGGAGCTTCACCAAATACTGTGTTTAAAGATAGATAGCACAACGTGATAAATGTCACAGTTTTAACAGTGCCACTGTTTAGATTTTGTCGCCATGTCTGTGATTCAGCAGGTAATACGCTGTTGGGCATTAGAGTTGATGCTACTTTCTATCCTGCCTGTGTCTAGGTGGTTGTTTTAATGGCCTTGGAATAGCAGGAGGAGATGAAGGAAATGAGCAGTGTCCAGACTGATGGCAGGAGAGCATTCAGGACTGGAATCAATGTGTCATTTCATTAGTAGATGTCAAAGCTCACCTTATGCTGGGTGAGGAGAGAGTCATTTAGAAGTGTATGCAGCACTGGTCTTTTACATGCCCGTCTTCCTTTTTTGCATTTATGGATCTTTTTTCAGCTTACAACTCTTAAAATGTGTGAAGTTTTCTACCCCAATATCAAATGGAAATTTAAATCAACATATACAAGCCAAAAATACCCATTACATACCAACCTTTTTTAGAAAAGATTGTCAGGACAATCAAGAGATTGCAAAAGGTAAGGGGGTGGGGTGGGGGGTGTTTCTTAGAATGAAGTTAATTTGTTCTAGTGGTAGAAAGGTGTCCTGGTAGTTATTGAAAGACTACCTTGCAGTAGACATATGAAAAGTTTGGTGTTCAAAATCTTTAAACATTTAAAATGCGTGCAAGATATGCGGGTAGAGAGAAGTCAGGTCAGTAACTAATGTGTGGGTTAGCAATTGTTGTTCCTTTTCTGTTTGGCTTGTTGGACAGACTTGTTTGTAGGTGGTGTTCATTAGGTGCCTGGTGCCTTTTATATAATCACAATTCCAGTGTCTTTTCAAAGGTTGGATATAGAGCCAGAAATCTGTGTGCATCGTCATTACAGTTATAGCGTTGTTATTGTAATCCATGGCCTGAATTGAGGTGGACTATGTACAGCTGAGTGATACAATTCTTTCTACAGACTCAGTAAAGTTTATTAAAAGCAGCTTAAACAAGTTTAAATTTTTAAGGCTGCAGTAACCTATTTCAAATAGTTCTTCTGTGCTTATTTACAGTGATGGATGGAAAAGTATATTAACTTAAATACCTCTCCTTAAATATGACTTTTTTCCTTTTCTGTATATTTTCAGAAAAAAATGTTGTGGTAGGCTTGACCCAATTTGGGAGTCCAGATTTAGAACTGTATTTTAGAAAAGACAATGTTGAAAGCACTTCATGTTTCCATTATAGGCGCTATTTAGGTCACTAGTAGGCCATGTCACTATAGGCATCTGCTTAGATTAATGACCAGTTCTTGGAGCATATTCAAGTTGTCTGAGCAAGTGACTGTAGGTCATGTTTCTTTCTGAAAATTATCTCCTTGCATATTTACATCTTTAGCTTTAGGAAACATGTTACAGAGAGATTTTTGTATCTTTCACTGGAGTTTGAAGATCTATGAAAATATAAGGGGTTGATCCCTCTGCTCAGTTCAAAGTGTTGCAGGCTTGATGCAGATGCTGCATGTATGGTGCTTGGCAGGAAGAAGCTTGATGGGGGATGCCAGTCATTGCTGCAGTACAGAAATGTTGTCCTGTGAGCCAGGAAGCCTGCTTCTCTTGCTTTACATTCTATTCCCCTTCTGCAGTAACCTCAGATCCCCTTCCTATAGCTACGATGAGCAGGCTTATGGGTAGCCTCCTTGCTTTGCCGTGTACATTTCTGCTCCGTGCCCTCAGGTCTCCTGCCTTGCCCTTGACTCCGGACAGAAGGCAGCACGTATCCTACCTCCAGCTGGTTCTGAGTTGTCTGGATCGGTTGGTACACGAGAGCCAGGTGGCTGCAGGCTTTCCAGGGACGGCAGCTGGTATGGGTTTCTCTTCTCCATCTAGCTCTAATTTTGTTTTCACAAAATTTGTTGGAACGTGGAAACTTTCATAACAAGTCTGCATAACTCATTTCCTTAGGAAACAGCCCAGTAATATTAGAGGGAAGATATTTTTGCACTATTCAGTGCAATTACAACAGGATATTAATTCCCCATTTAGGCATGTTTTAGACTGTCAGTAGAAAATACAGGCTTCTTAGAATCTTTTTTGTAAAGGCTGAAGCTGAGCATCCACTTGAATGGGTTACAATGGCAGACAGCATTTAGGAGAATAAACTTTTGACCGCAGGACAGTTTCCGTTTTAAAGGGAGAGTCCTGGGCTCTGTTGGAGGCTACTAGTCCGTACCTTTTTTTCAGGAAGTGCCCCAGTCTTCAATGACCGTAAGCACTAGAACTTACTGGACTCAAACAGGACTTTGCTGTTTTTCTTGGCCTAGGCACAAAATGACTCGTTCATTTTACAGTAATATCCCCTTGAAGTTGTATTGTCTGAGTACAGCTGTGTCTGAAGCCTTGAATGGTGGGTGTGAAATAGTTGCCTGGAACAGATGACATTGTCACTGAACAGTTTGCAAGAGGCATGTTTATTCTCTCTCCCTGCAGAAGAGTAACTGAGTTAAAATAAATGCAGTGCCTCCTGCTAGCAGGTAATCAATATTTTACTAGGGCATGCAGAGCCCCATATGATATACATTCCTGTTAATGCTTTGGGAATGGTGCCGTTGCATAGCTAACCACTGGGTTGTCACCCAAAAGCTTCTATTCAGTTCCTCAATTTTCCTTTCAGCTGCTGAGCCTGTTACCAAGCTCAGCATCTTTCAGTTATCTCCGTGGTTATATGTGACTGTTGTAGAGCTGTTTTTTAGACTTCCCCTTCTGAGACCACTGTGTTTATAAATGTCACTGTAACTCTGCACCCTCAGCCTCCCTTTGCTTCATGGCAGGGGCCATTCAGTTTGTCTTGCTTTCTTTATTTTCCTGGTACTGCAGGTACTGAAACTGGCACTTGGATAAAATCCCGCTTGTTTCCCTGCTCAGTTACTAATGTGAAACTTAAATTTGAATGCACAGTTGATGCCTTGTGGCAAGTGCCTGTTGGGAAGCTGAGTTAATGTAGCTAAGGATGTAACGCTCAGAATCACTTTATCTGCTCTTTGTAGTTAGGAGAGCCGCACCATTAATTTGTCAGTTGGTGTTGTAGCATTGGGTAACAGCAATATGATTGTACTTGTTCCCCTAAGAAAAGAGCTCCGTGCTAGTAAGAACAAAAAACTCATTTCTTTGTTCTTAGACAGCAACAGCTGGATCTTGGAGCATATTATTGTGCTGTTGTGCTTAACTTCTAAGCTGCTAAGGATTTTAGCTTCGTTCTCTTACCACTCTGATATTGCCTTTGGTGTTTTCTCTACTGTCCTTTCTTCTCCCTAATAGAGGAGGCTTAGCATTGTTTAAAAATTAACCTGTCCTGAGAAGTTTTCTGCCTTCCATTCCCATTGAGGTTGGCCACAACAGAGCTGCCAGTTGGACCCTGCCATGTCAAGACACTTCATTTGAACCACGTCCAAATCTTCCTGCTTTTTCAGCCAGACCATTTGCCATAGACAACTTTTTTCCTGCTCCCTCTGTGTATGTTGTTTTAACTCTTTACTGGACTTTCTCATACTGGTTGCTACAACTACTCCTTCCTTTCTCTTTTTGCAGAAAATTGTTTTGCTTTTTTTTGAAGCTTTGCTCCTTAGAAGCAAAACTTTCCTCCTAAAATGAGCACAGGTCCTGAAGTCTTGCTGATCTCTTCTCTCCTGTGCATTGTCCCACCTCCTGCACTCTCATCCATTATTTCTGCAAGCAGCTCTGCAATGTCGGTCTTTCTGTCTGCCTTTCTCTCTGTCTCTACCATTGCATTAAATGTCCCCTGGATTTTAGTAAAGTGAAACTTTACAGGACCTTCATGAGAGCTGCATCTGCTGTGGTGCAGAAGGGAAACTGCTCACAGAATATGGCCATAGAGATATTCACTAGGCTCTTTGAACCATAAATATTTTTTTTAATATCAAACCACAACAAAACTACTTAATTCTGGGCTCAACTGACCTACTTTTAAATCTGCAAAATACTGTTGTTGCCTCTGCTCCCTCACTTCCATTGTTCGTTCTTGCTACATCTACTTGTTGCTTTTTGTCTATATAAGCCTCTCAGCTCTACAAGGCAGGGGCTATCTTCTGCTCTGGGACCTGCCAAGCACAGTGGAGTCCTGGCTGCATTTGGGGCCTCTGGGCTCTCCTGTTCTTCAGGCAGAAAATACAAGAAAACAGCATAACTTAAGGAAACATATTAATGTAAAATGGGCATGTTGAATGATAGGGTTGTGTTGGCGTCCCACCTCTTTAGTCTACACAGTGCATTTTAGAGATGCACAGTCTAGGTCTCACTGCAGCACTAGTGGAATGAAACTGAAGGCTTGGTGTGTCCTGCAGGGTTAATGTGTTGATAATACCTTTCTTGAGATGAGAAATTGATTGGGAAGAAATGTGCATGGAGATGTAATACAAATGGACCTTCACCCTTATGGGTATTTGCTAGACTCTGTTTGCCTTCATGAGTGCAGGTTCAGCAACATGAGCTAATCGTGTAAGAAGGTTACAGGTTTTCAATTTGGCACTTTCCATGCTTTAAACTTACAATTTTTACTGTGGGTAGGGATCATTTGGTGAGCTGCTGGCCACATGGTTTTATAGGTATACCTTTGCATCTCTTATCACAGGACTTTTGCAAACGTGCAGTGTTGCCACAACTTCACAAGGCTTACAACTTTGGATTTCGTGTTCCTGTGGAGGCTAAGTAACAGTCCCACAAACATTGTTAGCACAAGCAGCAAATGATTAGCAAATTCAGCACGAATGTCATTGGGTTTTTTGCTTCGAAGTACGAATTACAGGCTCAAAAGTGGTGTTCTGGTCATTTTTAGACACTTTTCCTTTTTCTTTCTCTACACTTTCTGGAGAAGACAAGGCACACACAATACTCCATCCCAGACCCCTAACATCATCTGAGCTAATTTGGGCCAACCTTACAGATGGGCAGAGGTCTCAGAGCTAAGAATCACTTTTTACAATTTTTTTGCAGAAGTTGGAGCTAGATTAGAGGGATACAAATTACTAACTTCATTGTGGGAGGCACTATAATGTAAATTCAACAGTTGCCTGTTCTGTTTAGCCACCAATATACCAGTTAGCGTGTGTGTGGGCATACCAGTGTGTGTACGGATCAGAATTAACTACAGCTTGGTGTGCTCGCGTGCTTCCCCTCAGCCTAGTTGCTAGCTGAGCTTGGGAAGAGGCCAGAGTATTGGCAGCGCAGGGGACGTGTGTGGGGAACTGGTAGTTTGGGGTTGGGTAAGGCCAAAGGGGAATGTGGCAGAAGAGGTGGAGGCAGAGAGTCGGGTAGAGAGCAAGTCAGCAGAACCAGGCTCAGCTGCTTCCACTGTTCCTGCAACCACTGGCTTCAGGCAGAAAAACTTAATGGGAAAAAAAAAATCACAATATATTTAATTTTAATTTTTCTTAAGGACTCGGTGTGCTGTTTCCTGAAAATGTTACTTTCTTTAGTAGCTTGAAGTGTAAAAGTAAGTTCTTCATAAAAATGGCACCACTGCAAACATCAGGGCAATACGGATATAAAAGAAAGAGACAATTTCTGAGCCATGTACAAAGGGAACCTGGTTTCCAGTCTCCCGCACTCTGAAATGGGCCTGAAAGCATTCAGTAGTTTCTTCCTTGCAATGGGGCCACAGAGTGTTTCTTCTCTCTTCATCCTCTTGGGAAAGCTGTGGGAGCTCAGCTGTGGGAGACTGGATGGATGGATGTGTGCACACAGTGAAATCAAGCTTCACAAAAATGTAGCAGGAAGTGGGGCAGGCATCTTTAGAAATGTACCAGCTCCTGTGTTAATGAAGGGGAAAGTTTCTAGCAGCACAGCTTGTTAGCCACACTCTTAGGGAGCTGTGACGCTGTCACAAATTGGAAGCTATTTCTCATTAGGTAGAAAGCCGGTTATCAGTTAACAAGCCCAAGTCCCCCAGTATTCATGGGTGTGTTTTGGGGGGCTGTCTGGAAGATGAACTGGTGTTGACACAGCTGCCTTGCTTCACCGAAAGCAAGGACTGTGGTTCCTACAGACTTGGATGGTGATGTTTTGCGGGTAAGCCACCAGTCCAAGGCTTCCAGCTGCTGTGAACAAGTGATAAGGCTCACTCTTTGGCATGGGAACAGCATAAGGAATACGAATTGAACAGTCTCTTAAAAACAACAGAGAAAGGTGTGGTAAAATAGAAGCTTCAGTGGCTCAGTAAATGCTACTGGAAAGTTTCCTATAGCACTTAGCAGTGAGTTATGCTGCTGTAGCTGAGGAAGCATGACAGGCAGCCACTCCAGGAGCGTGGGATGATGCATGTGGTACCGCCTAAGGTAGATTTAAGTCTAAGCAGTGAATGTTTTCCTAAAGGAAAGAGCAGTTTCTGGCCATTGGTAGCAAAGAAACAAGATCAAAGCAGTCCTAACAAAGAATTGGCATCCCAGAAGGTGAGGTCTGGAGAAGTCTGCAGCTAACTTGCTAGTGCTTTGTAAATGGCACTGTGTGCCAGCCTGTTTTTAGGCACCCATGCACTTCTGAATGCTGAGCCTCTACGATACTGCCAGGATGTACATTAGTGCACCATGTCAGGAACAGAGGATTTCTTTTACGTGTTTATGCTGCGTTGGTGGTAGATATAGCAATGCTCTGGGATAAATTTGAGAGGTACAAAGAGCAGCAGTCCAAGTGTTCCCTGCTTATGAATGCTTGCTGCATGGTTTTATTAAAGGAAGACATTCTTGGAGTAGTGGAGGAGGAAGGGGAGAATAAAGGCAGGAGAGAAACATTGAACCTTCTGAACTCTGAATACAGCTTTGATTGCACAGCAAAGGCAGGGAGCAATGATGCTCTCTGCGCAGGATCAGAACTGCCTGGAATTGCCTCTGACTTTCTCCATATAATTCCCAGCTATTCCTCTGCGCTGTAAAATTTGGTAGGAACTGCACAGACGTCTGTTAAGCAGTCCTGAATCACAATAGTGGCAGTAGGAGCCCAAATGATTTGTTGGTAGGGAGAATGCAAATACCAGTCACTGCCACATCTTATTGACTGGGCTTAGCAGATCTCTTCTAACCCATTTCTTCCATCTCCCTGTTGCTTAGCAACAGATGCAGCGTGTTAAAGTTAAAAAGGCTGGAAAACAGGCCTTCAGCAGAAGTTGCCTGTTTTCATAGGTTTTATTTCCTTGAGGGCAGACATTTGTAGTGGTTATGGTGAATAATCACCCTTGTCATGGTCTCATATGAGCATTCAAATTGCTTTATTGTATTGCATGCCCTGTAAATGAGCAGTGCTCTTATAATAAGGTTCTTCTACCCACTTCTGACATCCAGGAGCCTGTGTGTATCTACAAAAGGTATCTGAATACCTAAAAAGAGGGAGAGGCTGCAAATTCTGCCTGTGCATTAAGCTGGAGGGTGCCGATTCAGCAAACAGTAAACTGCCTTTTTTTTAATGGAAATGTCTTTACTGATCTGTCTAGGGCAGAAAGTATCAGTCTGAGCTGTAAATAATAGACAGAATCAATTCTAGTAATTAAATACCAACTTTGTAACTGCTGTATCCCACCCTTTCCTTCCATGCACAGGCAGCATTTGTATCATCTGATTGCTATGTATTGTACATTAATACACTACTGCTTTGTGACTGTCTTGAAGTAAGAGAGCTACCTTTACCTGAGCTATTTAACTTTTATTAGAAAACAGCATGAAGGGTATTTGTCATAGGCCTTGACCGTGCTATCCTAGATATTGCACATGCATAAGCAGAAGTAGCCTTTAACGCCTACAGATGAACAGAAGATCATTGGTGGGGAGAGCTATCAGAAACCAGTGAGATGCTCATTGGCATTTTTGGGGTGTGTAGGGTGAGTTTGCCAGCCTAGCTATCACCTGTTTTTTTGGGGGCTTCACAGCAAAAGCAACAACAGTGAAGAGAATTCCCAAGTTTAGGGAGCTGCTGGTGGGAGTGAGGACAAGCAGGAGAGTTGCAGCCACTTAGTGAGTCTGCAGTTGGTGGTTGCAGCCAGGGCAGGGTAGTCCTTCAGCATACATCTGAAGTGCAGTATCTACCATGTCGCAGGAGTGTTTAGAGTGCACCAAAAAGTTCTTGTGTAGTTCCTATCACACGCCCCACTTTTAAATAAATAGGCATTTTTTGACATTTTGTTTATGCATCCCTCTACTGTTGGACAAGTGGGTCAAGAGGAACATGAAGCATGTAACGTATAAATGTTGGCTGCATTATGTGCTCTTCAACATTATGTTTGTCATCTTTGCAGTGAGTGCCATAATTCTTCTGACCGGATCAAGGTGCGAGTATGGGATGAAGATGATGACATCAAGTCTCGTGTCAAGCAGAGACTGAAACGCGAGTCGGATGATTTCCTGGGGCAGACAATCATTGAAGTCCGTACTCTGAGCGGAGAAATGGATGTGTGGTACAACCTTGGTGAGCAGGGCTTTGGGATTGAACACGTCATATGTTAGTTTGGAAATGTTCAAGAACACTTGGGTGCATCTGGGCAGTTTGCAAGAAAGAGAAAAAAAAAAAACAAAACACCAAAACCCCATGTAATTTCAAGGGGCATATGATGGTGCTGTGGAGCAGATTCAAGGCTTTGATCCCAGTTAAAATGAAGAGGAGGAGTATAACATGTCAGAAGGGTGATGGGTTTTCCCTGTCAGGCATTGGAAAGTACAGTGGGTAAATGCTTGGAGCAGGGTTGGATTCCACCTGTGCTGGAGACATGTTTCCTGTCCTGTGCCCTTTTTTTGTGCCGACACAAGCATTTTGCCAGTCTCTAGGACCTGCAAGTGCACTGGCCTGGGAAGTTGTTGAGACTTTTTCAAGTGGCCAGAATAGAAAGTTGTAGAAAGTACCTACAAGTAACCAGATGGTGCTGAGTTGACAGGCATAGTAATAATCCTAGGAGGTCCAAAATCTTGATAGGGATAACTAATATTTCCCAGGAAGTCTGTGATCTGTCCTTGGTGGTTCTAGCTCAGCTGACTGAATCCAAGGCCAGGGACCCTATAGCACATTTGCTTGTCAGAAGGACTGGCTTACAGTCAGTCTTTCAAAGTTTTGAAAGAAAGAAGTCAGAAGTTTTCTCCATGGTGATTCTGATCACAAGCTCAGCCTGAGCTTTCAGCAGTTTCTTTTCTAGTTTTTACCCCAAGATGGCTGTGCTCTCAACATGAAAAATGTATGTAACTGCTGCTGATTTTTCCTTCTAGAGAAGCGAACAGATAAGTCTGCAGTGTCTGGGGCTATTCGCCTGCAAATCAGCGTGGAGATCAAAGGCGAGGAGAAGGTGGCTCCATATCATATTCAGTACACTTGCCTTCATGAGGTAAGAAGCAGCTTCAGCTCAGTCAGCACCATGTCCCTTCTGTCTCTTGAAGGATCAATTTTCTGACCTTTATTTCGTTGAAATGTTCCTCCTTGCCCTAGATGAGCTTTCTTTTCCCTGCTCTGCAGGCCTGGAAACATGCTGAATCATTAGACCTGCATTTGTCAGGAAGGCAAAGAAGGCTTTAGGCTGTCTCCCCTGCACTGAGGGCTGGCTGGCTCCGTCTGTCCCACTGTCCCCCCGTCTGTCACAGCTGTGCTGCTGTCAGGCAGAGATCACTCTTTGGTCCAACTCGGAGCCCCCCATGGGTTTAACATGGATAAACCTCTGAATTTCCTTGTGTGATTCTTTCAGCATGTACCATACCTATGTCTTTCTTTACAGAAAGCATACTAAAATGCTATATGAATAAATTCTGATCTGGGAAGGGCTTTGACTCTAGCTGTTGAGTGATACAGATATTGGTGTTATAAATTCCTCTGTGCTGCTGCACTGGTGTATAGCTGTGGAGAACTATTGGGGAACAGAAGATAAGCTGTAGTTACTGGGTATTGATTGACCTGTCTCAGGGTGAACTAAGCTGGGCACGCAGTGCTTACAGAAGTTGGGAGAAATCCAAAGATGACTTGTGAGAAGGACTAAAGGGAAAACCCTGTCTCGGAGAGATGCATGGTGCCCAGTCTGTCTAAGAGAACGCAGGTAGCAGGGTGAGTTTCTAAGTGCCTGAATAAGGAAAAGTAGTCAGAGCCCCTTTCACCTGACATACAAGCATATCATGAGGTTCAGTGAAGTTTAAGCAAGTTCAGGTTAGAAAAGAAGGACAGATGTATCACAGAGGAATATGTTCAGCTACAGGAACAACATATTTATCCAGATGCTGGACTAGATGAGCCCTGTGGTGTCTTCTGGCCTTACCAGGGAACAGACAGATACGAAGCTTGGAAAAACATCAGCAGGCTTCTTTTAGTGAGCTGTATTTTGTCCTTCAATACATATTTATTGTTTTTAATTCAGTGATAGCTTCTGTTTGGTAAGGTATTTCGGTTTTTTCCTTCTGAACATGCATGATCACTTGCTGCCCTTCTTTTTTGCAAATATGTCTCTTTTTAAGTATCACCTCCTTTTATTTGTGTATCATAAAATGAAGATGATTTACAGCTAGAATAATTTAATCAGGAAAAATAGTGGTGTAAAGCAGAGTCCTCTAGCTCCTAATGAGATCATTAGACTTTTGCATCCCTTACTACAGGGAGCCAGCTGTCTGAAAGGCTGATGAATCTCTAAGTGACGTGAATTGGAGGATTACTGAGAAACCCACTGAACTGAATGTGCAATTTCTGCACAGCAGTGATAGCTGAAAGCCTTTGCAGTGTTAGATAAAGGGAAAGGTTATGTTGAATAATAATGCAAGTGTCTAGTTGTTAGGGGTAATCTTAAGGATGTCCTTTTCAGAAAAAAAAAATCTGTTTGGACTGTTCTGCTGTATAATAATAATTACAAAGCTGATACAGAGCTGTTACATCAGCTAGTTTAAATAGCTTGTCCATGTTAAGGCATTTCATTCTGAGGACAGCAATGTGTAGGTTTCAGGAAACTAATTAGTCTGTGGTTTCACTGCACTGAAGCACTCCTCTGCATCATTCACAATGTCTGCTGGGTAAAGTTGTAGGTATGCGTGCAAAAAATTCAGCTAGGAGCATTCGAGGAGAAAAGAAAGTAAAAGCAGAAAAATACATAGTGGGTAGGGGGAAAGAAAGGGGGAGGAGAGCAAAGAAATTTGTGTTAGTGCTGCCTTCTCAGCAGTTCCGAGCTCTTCATGAAACTTACTCGGAGGCTTCAGCAGCCTCACATATAATTTCATTCCTGTTTTGTATTTCAGAACCTCTTTCACCATCTCACAGATGTGCAAGGGAATGGAGTGGTGAAGATCCCTGATGCCAAAGGAGATGATGCCTGGAAGGTGTATTTTGATGAGACAGCTCAAGAGATCGTGGATGAATTTGCAATGCGTTACGGCATTGAATCAATATACCAGGCCATGACGTAAGATGCATTTCGTGTGCCTTTAGTGCAGATAATCGGTGTAACTAATTGATGTGACTGTTAATATTTGGAAGATGACGTGTTGGTAATGGAAGGCTTGGCAGTGACAGCTGCTCCTCATGGGGCTTACTGTGTGTGGAAAGAGACTGTCTGTCTCTGAATCACTGGTTTCCTTAAAGTCTAGAAATCAATGTCTGACAAAGTGCTGGAATTAAACATCTATCTGAACAGTTTGTGTGAGCACTTTTAAAACGAATTCTAAGTAATTACACCAACTTTGGTAGTGTAAATGACCATTTTTTATTATTGATAGCTGAGCCATTCCTCTTGTAAGACTCTAAAATCTCTATTTGAGTACTCTTCTGTTAAAAAGATATTGCCCAAGGATCCCACTGAAGATTTCTGATAATGTGAGAAGGGATTTTTGTGGAAGTGTTTGTCCTATATGTCTGTTGTGGCAATTGATACAGTCCTTTGAAGTCACTAATTTCCCAGGTGCTGCTGAAGGCATTTATAGGAAGTTTGAGTAATGGAGTCACCGATTCGTCCTCTTTGGAGCTTGGCTAATGCAATTCTTGATCTTCAAAGAGCGTTTTCCTTGTCACTATACTTTTACTTGGATTTCAGATTAGCCATTCTTCCTTTTAAAGACTAGTAGTGCTATGCTTAGCTCATTTCTTATTTCAAATGTAATATTAAATACAGCAGACAAAAGTGAACTTTTTTCATGTTAGAAGCTGAAAGTTTTGGGGTCTGGATCCTTGGATGAGTTATGATCTGTACTGATGTCACCTTGCAAGCAGCTTTTCTGCATATTGATTTAAGCCAAAGCAGAGAAGAATTGGAATGTACCTCCGGAAGTCTAGTCCCTGCTTATAGCAGGAGTAACTTGCAAGTTGGACCAGACTGCTCAGGGCCTCTTTCAGTTTCTTGAAAATTTCCGAAGATGGAGATCCGCCACCTCTCTGGGCTCCTGTCCTCAGGCTGTATTACTCTGGAGAAGAAATTCCTGGTTGAAATCCAAATTGGAAAATCCTACTTTGAATTTCCTATGCTGTAACTGCTGCATATTGCTGCTTATCTTTTAGTTTTCCCTCTAAAAGGATTTTGGCCTGTCTCAATCTTCTCACTAACCCTTCCCTTAAGGGTAGTCAAGACCCTCCCCTAAGTAGTCAAAACGTTAATTAGATCCCAACTCCTTACACCCTCTCTTCTTCAAGCTAAACAAAGCCATTTTATGTGTCTGTCTTTATTTACCAAGTGCCCAAATGACCAATTAGTAATAGGTATCATGTAGCAAGCAAGTTAACATTGAGGCATCAGTATCACGTTTGTCTGAAATACTGACTTGTGAATTCCTATGAAATTCTCTCACTGGAGCTTTTTTGGTTATTATCATTTGTAGATTAACTAGCACAGAAGCTAATGCCTGTGATGAGTCCCTTAGGGAGAAAGCTGCATTTAGGAAATAGTTCCCAAATTTAATTTGTGAGATCAGTGAGGATACCTGCTTAAAAATGGCCCAACTCTCCTGTCTGTTGGAATGAACTTTGCTTGCCATGTCCCATAATGTCAGACCTCTTAAGCTCTGTTTGTTTTTTCCCCTTATGTCTAACAGATTTTCTTTGATTGTTTAATCATTTCACAAGCGTAGATGCTTCTGGCATAATTTTGAGATTTCCTGCAGGAGGGTTCCTTGCACTTTAATGAAAGCAGTTAAATGGGAAAATGCAAATGAGCGTGCACGTTTCCTGCAGGCTGGAAGGTTTACCCCTAAGGAATCACATAAAGGTTTAGCCCTAAGGAATCACATAAAGGTTTAGCCCTAAGGAATCACATATCAGTGCAGCACAGAAAAACTAGTGTGTGATCTCGCTGTGCTTGAGTGCTTTGCAATTGCTGCTGCCTCAAGTCACCTGAGAACCTCAAGTGGCAGCAAATTATATAGATCTCCTTGTGCCAGGCTTGCTCCTAGGAATTGGCATCAGGACCCAGGGTATCACCTAACTCACAAGCTGTTGGCAACAAATAGTTGAGAAGCTATTTTATGATCTGGAAAGGGCTGTAGTGAAGGAATTTCTCTTGTTGTGAGCATATCTGTTGTCTAGATGGCATCTTTTTGAAGTGCTGAGGTGCTGGAGATACACAGAAAGGGAGAAAACATAACTTTCATCTGTTCGTGGTGCCAGCCAGGGTAAGGGGGCTGTTAAAGGGATAGAGTCAAGTTGTGCTACACAAAAGAGACCAGAATGACTTACAGAACTGTCCTTTTGCAGGCATTTTGCATGTCTTTCCTCTAAATACATGTGCCCAGGAGTGCCAGCTGTGATGAGCACTTTACTTGCCAATATCAATGCTTACTATGCACACACCACTGCCTCCACAAATGTGTCTGCTTCGGACCGCTTTGCAGCCTCCAATTTTGGGGTATGTTTGCATGTTTGGTGATGTTACAGTTGGACTTCTGTAATTTGCCTACGGTGCTTCTGCCTTTCAATAAATAACCTGTTCTGTTTAAGGAACATTAAATCTGTAAGGAGGTGGAAGCTGTGGAGCTCTTATAGACTAGACAAAGGGAATGGTTTTATTGTCATCACCCCGCACATTTTAGATATTAATCAATGTAATGCATTGTGATGTGTATTCTTCATGTTCAAATTACACTGGAGCACAGATGGTATGGAAATGAGCAAATAATATTAAACTCTGTGTGGTGATGCTGTTGATGCGATCTGATCGTTTCAGAACTTTGATTTTAAAACCAGCAACTGCTTTAAGAAAAAACAAACAAAAAAAAGTCTGTCCCCCTAATGGTTAAAACGTTTTTTGTTTAACATGTGGTGGAGTTGAGTGTGCTGGAAAAGTATTTGGAAAAGCTCGTGCTTCCTGTCAGACTGAAAATGTATAGGTTGAATGAGGAGGTGTTCACAATGCCAAGCCAGAATCCAGTGGAGAGACCTGACCTCGAGAAGCCTGTAATACTTGTCACTGAGCTAACAGATGAGATCTTGGAGCTGGATCATTGCTCTGAATTAGACCCTTTTCTGCATGTTCTTTTATTCACCTCTGAATAAATATTTTCTCTTAAATATAAGTTTGGTGCAAATTGCAGACTAGAAATCAGAGGGGTTTTTGTTCTGCCTAGACTTCAGAGTGATAATGGGGTATTTTTCTGACAATTCTAATGTTACACAGACTTCAGAAATAATTACAGCATAAAAGTAAATCCAAGAATCAAAAGAGAATACTGTTTGCACAATACCATGCATCCCATATTGCTTCCTCCCACTCTCCTGAGATCGGACACTAATTCCCTGATATCCTGCTGCTTAGTCTGAACATCAATTGGACAGTAATGATATGTTTGTTGGTGTTTTCTGCTCCACAGAAAGAACGATTTGTGAAGCTTCTGGACCAGCTTCATAATTCACTTCGGATTGATCTCTCAATGTACAGGGTGAGTAGGAATAAACAGAATCCTTTCAGGCATTCTGGTGGGCAGAGGGGAAACACACCATTTGGATTTCTCTTATTACATTTCTAACCTTTTGGGTACTTTGTGTCTTATGGAGTTGTCATGACAAGCTTATTGCTCGAATACACCATTTTGTTTTCCTCATGGACAGAACTTAAACTATGTTTTTTTCTTCCATTATAACTTCCTCAAGATTTCTGAAATAATTTAAGGATCGTGAACTATGCTTATCTCTGATACTCTTCCCGAAATGCAAGTTGGATTGGATTAATTAATTTGAATTATTCTTATCAGCTACTTCAGGTATCATTTACAAAGGGAAAACAGACTTGTTCTACCCTAGTAAGATAGAAATCTTTTAGAGGACCTGCAACCATATTATCACTTACTTTAGGTTCGGCAAACTCAAATCACTGTCCCCAGCTCTGGATCTACAAGATGCAGTCTCAGGTTGAGATCCCCCCCAACTTCAGCATATTGGGAAGAGACAAGTTTCAAATGTTGGCATCAGTCCATCAGGCTTCTTAAACTGTCTAGTTTCTTTCTTTGCTCAACATAGTCTTATCATATGACTTGGCTTTTTTTTTTTAATTCCTTGCTATATTATTTTAATTCATGACTAATTCATTGAAAATTTTTAAAATGGTGGCAAAATGTGAGCTTTGATTTTATTTATTTTTTTAAAAGTAGATCCTCTTCTGGTTAGTGCATTTGTCTGAAACACAGTAAATCATATAGAGGAGGGAAACACAAGCAGACTAAGAAGAGAAGTGCATTAGGAAGGCAAACAAGAAGGACAAGGGGCAAGGTGCAAAAGAAGATAAAAGGAATGTTGTGTGAAGAGCTATTCTAAAACTACATTACTAGTAAGAGAAGGTCTAAAAAGAGCACCGATCCACTGAGTAGCAGAAGGAAAATTATTGACACATGGCAATAGGAATCTGTAGTGGTGATGCCGCTTTTGTTTGCTTGGTCTTCAATAAAAGCTGCTTTCCAGTGGCTAATGCAACTAAACCTTCGACAAACAAGTAAGATCTTACGTAAAGGACTGGGAAAGATTTGTGTAGTTTAAATAATTTAGATCTTATCTAATTGGCAGTATATTTAGAAAAATGGCTAAAGCAATTTGGGAGCTCTTAGTAATTATTTTAAGACCCCTGAAGGGCAGGTTAAGTTCTGGAAGAAAAAGGTGTTAGGTTCCAGCTTTCAAGACAGGAGACAGCAATTTACAACTTAAATTACTGAGATTAAGCCTTCCCCTAATTTAATCAAGCTATTTGTAAGCACTTAAAACAAGGAATAACCAGCAGCGTGGATTTCTGAAACAGAAAGTGTCAAACCAATGTGTGTTTCTTCCAGGGCAGGGTGGCAGGTGAGGAGGGGAGAGATGGAGCCCTCTCAAGAGTAGCTCCAAGTCACCCTCTGAGTAATTATTTTGAAACATGATTTGTGAGCAAGTGCAGTTATTCTGTATGCATGTCAGTTGTTCTTTTGTTTCTGGTCGCTAGCTGACATAAGCATAGAGGAGGCTGAATTTCAATATAGATTATGTGATCTTTTCCTTATTATTATTCCTAATCAAGAACATGCGTTCAGTCCCCAATGTTCATCCAATGGTTTGTGTTTAAATCTTGACCCACGGAAGTCTTTGATTTTGCTAAATACCCTGAGTGCCAGAGAGTCTGTGTGTGGACAACTTAACTTTGAAAGGAAAGTTGTCTAGGAATGAGCACCTACAAATGACTGTAAAGAGCATTAAATTGCTTGCAGTGGTTAGCTGAACATGAAGAGACAGCATATTTTTCTGCAAGTCCTCAGTAAGAAATGAAAACTTGTTCCCCTCTGCCCTTTTTACCTTTGTCTCTAATAATTTTAGGATGTGCAAATAAGAAGAGACTATCCAAGTGAAGGTTGGCTTTGCTATTTTACTTGCAGCAAAACCAATCACATCAGCTTGAATGTGAGAACATGTTGAGGAACATGAACGCGGTTAAAGGACACAGGAAAGAAAGAGTGGGAATGTAGGAAAGGGCACACTGCCTGAGGTCAGAACAGGAACGGTCTCTTGCAAGAAGCAAAGCTTGCTGCATTCAGCATATGCATTTACATGCATATATATATACATACTTACACGCACACATATGTATCATATATGGAAGGAACAATGAGACTTCTAATTTCAGTGGAACCCAGAGAGTGGGAAAGGAAGCTATGGCTATGGACAGCAGGGTGGTGGGCAGAGTATGTAAAATAAATGCATTAGAGCAAAGGAGGCACTGAAGGATACGTGCTTATCTTGGCAGATTGGATCTTACAGGGGACTGAGTGGTTACAATGACTTCTTACAGGGAACAGTGCTCGCTTTCCCTTCTCAGTCCAGTTTATTTCTCTGGAGAGGTTGCTAATATACCACACCTCTTGGTGTCTCAGAAGAGAAGCCAAGAACCAAGCGGTGAGTGTGGAAAGCAATGGGCCCGCACAAGCAGCCTCAGACAAGAGGGCAGGGCTGCTGGTTGCAAGGCTGCTGCTGCCTGCCTGCTTCTTCCAAAGCCGAGGAGAGATCTCCTGCCGCCGGGAGTTGTCAGTCTCCTGGCATCCACAAACTTTGCATTCATATGAGAAGCTATTTAATTAAGCAAACAGATAAGCTCCTGCAGCAAAAAAGACCTTATTTATTGAGCATTGTTTTGACTGGTACAAGCTTCTCGAGCAGGAAATGTTTCCAAGATACTTTCCTTATTTAGCACATGCTTGAAGCCTTGCATGGATCCAACTGTGCTTTCCAACAGGATTTCCCTTTTTTGTCGACAGAATAACTTCCCAGCCAGCAGCCGCGAACGGCTGCAGGACCTGAAGTCTACAGTGGATTTGCTGACCAGCATCACTTTTTTCAGGATGAAGGTAGTGTTATGGGTGGGGATGGGAATGAGGCCTCTGCAGTGCTTGCCACAGGAGTTGGTTTCCCATTTTCACACCATTGTTTCATGTTGTCGTGCTTTAGGCACTTAAGGAAAATGGAGATCATCTGCCTACCATGTAATAAACATCCACATTTTATATTTACTTCACTGTGTTTTGCGTCATAAAGATGAAAGTTGTTTTTTCCCTGGGGTTCTTCAGTCATAAATATGGTGCAAAATAATTTAAAATAAAAAGAGGAAAAAAGAAAATTGTCTGGTTTTAGGAAGATAATTTACTTTTGTTAATAGCATTAGGAAGCTTTTCCTATAAAACTGTCTGCAAAATTTATCAGTCACTACCATCTCTTCACCATCTTTTATCTAGTAAATACTTTTAAATTTGTTTCTTGGAGGGTAAGATACTGAAATGGGATAGTATCTCTCAGTAGAAATCCAAGAGTTTTTATGAATGCTAATGTGCTGGTTCTGTAGTTAAGTCTATTGTTCTAGCAATGTGTAATGAGATTATTTTTAATTCCTGATTTTTGTTTCTAAATTTTTTTTAAAATACTGTTGTAGGTTAGTACATGTCACTTAGTAATTTTTTGTCTTATCGAAAACAAAGCTTGAGCTATTTGAGCTATTTCAGGAAGTGCTTAAAATTTTACTCTCAAGCCCTAGGGTAAATGATGTCTTAGAACTTTATTTTGAAAGTGTTCTTTCAGACAATATGTCTATATTGAAAGTTTGCTTTAAAGAAATACTAAGAAAAGTTTAGAGTTAGTGACAATATCAAAATTGTCTCAGGTTATAGTTTTATTGGCCGGGTGATGCCTGCATATCTGTTTAGTTTAAAGTAATCCTGCAGTGTTTTTTTAAAACAGCGTAACAATGAAATAATGAAAGGAGCTGTTGTTGCAAGAGGAGAAGGCATATTGGTTGGCATGTCCCTAAGAATTCTGGTGTGCTTTAAAAGTCAGTAAAGCTTGTGAAGAAAGGTGTCCTTAAAGAAAGTTACTGTATTTAAAGGCATGTGAGCGTTTGGTCTTCAGCAAGACTTTCCAGATAAGACGTAATGTGCTCCGCTAGTCTGTTTCACATTCTTCCAATGTTTAAAAAGATTGCTTGCTGGCTTCATAGCAGAATCCTATAAATTCAGCAGAAATTGTGTGTGCTTGGCTCAGATTATACACATATCAAATCGCATGATTTATTTATTCTGAAGAATCTTCCTTGGCCCTTCAAAATCTCCTTTTTTGCTCCAAATGATCCTCCAGGGAGATAAGTGTTCTCACTGCTGTTTTATGCCTGGGGAGAGTGACCCTTTCATGGTTCAGGTCACTGATAGCACAAGTCACTGAAAGCACATCCACCAAGTCCTGAGTAGCTCCCAGACTGGTGACCTGTTCCTTCCCTGTTTGATTTATGAACAGTGCTTTGTTTGACTCTCTCTGTTGTCTCCTTGCCAGGTCCAAGAGCTGCAGAGTCCACCCCGAGCCAGCCAGGTAGTGAAGGACTGTGTAAAAGCTTGCCTCAACTCCACCTATGAGTACATTTTCAACAATTGTCATGAGCTGTACAGTCGCGAGTACCAGACGGATCCTGTGAGTAGCTGATAAGCGGGTAGAAATCCCAAGTTTCTGATTTTCTTAAGATAATAACAAGAGTACTAATTGATGTAAAAAGCCACACAAACAAAATTATGTGACTTGTTATCTTCTGAATGCACAAAACTTGTAATCAATTAATGAGCACTAATTAGTAAGTGGAGGATGATAATTGTTTTACACTAATTAATTACAATTCGTTTTGCCAGCCTCAGCTATTTTATTTCATGAGCAGTTATTTGTGAAGGGATGGTTTGATGCAGCTTTGAGTGAGCAAAAGCCAATCAGAGCAAACATAGGCTGATCAAGAAAACTGTCTTTAGCATAGATAAACCTCAAGCAGTGAAATTTTACCTTGTTTTCTAGCACCCAGTGTCTTGCACTGGGCTTAGGAGGTACCTCTAGACACAAACTATTTTCAAATCCATGAGAGCTCTACTGGCCACCCTGCAGTAATGCACACATAATGTGTCAACGTGGATATAGTCATCCACCCAGGTGCCTAAAAACCAAGTATTTGGAACAAGCTTAGAGCAAATGATGTCTCAGCAGGTCTTCTGGAGCCTGACCTGCTCTTGGCATGGCAAATGACAAAATGGAGATTATTTGGGTTTGAGGCCACCGGTAAGCAACATGGTTTGGCATGTTACTGTTTTTGGCATTAGATCATGCAAGTTGCTGGCAGGCATTAATAATTTCAAGCTCTTCAGAAGAAAAGGTCCATAGGTAATTAGAGTTTGGAGTTTGTATGGTGATCTACATTTGTCAGGTTTTTCATTCGCCTTTAAATTTACACTGGTCTTCCAATGGCTTCCTTCCCAGAACAAAAATCAGGACCTTCCTCCTGAGGAACAGGGCCCCAGCATCAGAAACCTGGACTTCTGGCCCAAGCTCATCACTTTGATAGTTTCCATCATAGAAGAGGATAAGAATTCTTATACCCCAGTCCTGAATCAGTAAGAATCTTCCATGTCCTGTATGGGTAATGCTAGTTTCTGTGTGCTCTGCTTTATTTGTTAAACTGCTTTCTATCTCTTCTGTCACTTGTGTATTTATAGAAGTACTTATCTTGTCTGTCTGTCTTTCTGTCTTATCTGTCTCTGTCTATATAAATAACTCTTTTTGATTGGGATGGAAGAGTTTCAAAAGGTTCAGTTACGATGGCGTTCGAGCACAAACACCCTGATTATTACAATCCTGAACTCAGGGAGGCACCTGAAAATGGGGTGAGAGTTCTTTTGGTTTTTTCTGATGTTGAGCAGTTCTGGGATGCACATTAATACACACAGGGCTGCCGTGGTGACACCACCTTACGCTGTGATTTAGGAAAGTGGTGTTCAGTGCAGCACTGGGAGGTTGCATTGGGTGGGCTTGGCACAGCATTGGAAGGAACATGGAGTGGATGCTCCAACAGTCCCACAGGGCAAGAGAGAGGGAGATATCTGACAAGGTATTATATGCACAGAGCTGGATTATGCCTTAGCGATCATTGATTTAACATGGCAGGGACACCCGATTCGCATTCACTTGTCAGCCTAGTAACCCTAGGAAAAAAAGAAAAAAAAAAAAAAATACGGACAAGAAAGGGGGAAAAGGTGCAAGGACATTGAGATCGCATTCCCAGAATTATTGTGTGCATCTCTTGTAGGAGAGACACTTGGGGCCTGGCTTTTTGAGTTAAAACCAGTCTCAACAGTGGTGGTGTTTTCAGGTTCTTTAATCTATGCCACAGAGTCCAATCCATGATCTCCAATTTCCACCTGGTCATATATCTAGGGCGAAGGAAGCATCTGTAATGTTGAGCTTTTCAGCTTGTAGTTTAGCTTAGAATAAAGAAGAGCTCTGACATATGCCAAAGCCTTTCCCAAATGTCCCTTCAGGTTTCCTCAGGAGCTTGCTGTTGGGAAGATCAGCGCGGAGGTGATGTGGAGTCTTTTTGCCCAGGATATGAAATATGCCATGGAAGGTAAGAGAATTCCTCACTGCTGCCAGCTGACCTGTTGCAGATCTCTTGTTCTCCATTCATTTGGTGTAAATGAGGCACAAGCATTTTAGTAGCCCCACTGTTTGGAGCAAGGATTTCTAGTGGTTTGTTTGTGGACAGCTGCTTTATGGGTGAGAATTGAGGCCGAGATCTGCATGAGCTCTAGATCTGTGTGTCAGGCTGTGTTGCAAGCTGTTTATTGTCACCCCAGCTGGTTTGAAATCAGAAGTTCACTTTGGCCTGAGGATACAATGGCTTAGAACAGCAGCAGCTTCTTTCTGCAACGTACAATGGTAGAAAGGTCTGGAGAAGTAGGTGGACTCTGGGTTGTGCCATGGCTGTAGTTCCCTGGGTGATACAGCATAGACGGTCTAAGCCACTGGCAGAAACATGCTGTTAGAACAAATCCTGCTGCAGACAAATTCATTTTGAATTAATCTTGGCATAATTCCACCAGACTCCTAGTGAAGGAGAAATTTTACTGTTTCTGAAAATGAGTTAGGCATGCAGAGCCCAGCAAAATCCCAGAAAGAAATTTTGCTATTTGCAGTACTCTTCTGATGGTTGATGCCAGTTTCTGAACTTGGGTTTAGTTCTATGAACTCATTTGCACAATGTAATCAGCTTATTACAAGGTTCAGAGAGCATCTGTCTCCCACTGGCTCTGCAGCTGCGGTACCAGTTGTTTTCCCAGTGTTTTGCAGGGTCAGGCTTTATGATCATCTATAAGGTGATATTGTGATAAAACAGAAGTGCCAGTGCTGCCTACGGCATGTTAGCTGTATTCATATTCCAAAACCAAGTCAAGTTACTGCTTTTGGTCACTCACAAAATTAGGCTCAATCCATTTGCCCCCAGTTTGATCTAAGCTCGCTTATAGGAGTGACAGCCTTAATAGGCTCTTACTGCAGACTGCTAGAAAAAGACTGCTGCCAGCTAAGAGACTTTCCTGCATTTTGTTCTTTGGGAACAGTCTGTGGGGCTGCTCTGTAAGTGAAGAAGATTGACTCCATCTATTTCTTAGTCTGTCAACACAACAGGGGTAGAGACTGTCATATACACTTTTATATACACTTGTACCCCACAATGCTTTTGTCTTGTGAGGTTGTGTTGATGTAAGAACAGACACTGGGAAGAAGGACTAAGACCTACTAACTGTGTTGAAGAGTCTCTTTTAGAGTGACTGTCACCACTAGCTCATGTGTTAGAGATAAGGCAACTGTGATAACTTCATGTTTATTTTCCCTGGAAACTGTTTGCTCCTGCAACCATTTTGGCTCCCCTTTCCATTTTGTCCTTATTTACCCCTGTGCGCTCACCCTCAGGAATTTATAATGCAGTTTGCTCTTCTATGTGTTGAAAGTGCTATATCTTCCTCCTTTTGCAGCAGCCGTGAGAATTGGATCTCTCCAGGTCTGGTTGCTGACTTTCCTAAGATTCCCTTTCCCTGGTGCATCCAAAATGCAGCTGCAAAGAAAGTTATTGATTGTGTGTGTGAATTTGACTGTCAAAGGGGATGTGACTTTGACTGATTTCTTTTGTTTTCCTCTTTTGCATGGCTCTATTTGATTGCCAGTGCCCAAGTTAACTTTGCCTCCCAGGTCTTCTCTACATCTCATACTGTGTCCCCTTTGACTCTGTCCTCCCTGGTGAATCTCGGCTTATTTTAGCTTTTCCTGTCATCCTTTTGGTCACTTGTGAGCTTCTTAATACAAGGATTGGCATAATGTTTCCACCCATGAGTTCATCAGTGCATAGCAAATACTTGCTGAAAGAGCATCCCTCTTCAAAGTATTTCTTGGTGAGAAAAGACACAAAGGCCAGGAAGGGTTCGTATTTTGAACGAAAGCTGAAAAACTGCATAGTACATGTATTTGTACTCTAGCTGTGCAGGTCTTGCAGGAGGATTGAACAATAGAACAGGATTGAACAGAATAGAGTCTGTGCTGGTGTGTGTCTCTTCCAAACGTATATTCAAGAAATCCTCAGGGTGCAAAATTCTATTTCAGGCAAGTGTGATTCCTCACTGCTTTGCTCTCCAGAAACTTACAAGATAACCTTTATAACAAGCTCTACAATAATTCAAGTACAGGCCTTACTACATGTATTTTAAATAGAGATGATTGGATTAGTTCACTGCATTTTTTTTTTTTAAACGAGGGGAAAAAAGGATTAAAGAAGACAGATAAGTGATGTGAAGTATGAAGATTAGATTTGCTGTCCTCAGCTCTTTTGTCATTTTTGTCATTTCTCAGTTTGAGTTGCTAATTTCTCTACCAGTTTAACCACACCAAGAGTTTTCTATTCCTGTCTTTGCCATTTTGTGGAGTAATCCCTGGGTACATTTCTGGTGTGCTCCAAGACCTGTACTCATCAGGAGCTCTCTGCAATAAAAGCTAATCTGTTTTGTGGAGATACGTGCACATGAACCCAGCGTACAATACTTGCTCCTAACTTTCTTCATGGAGTTTTCCCTTATGTTCTGTTCCTAAGTTCTAGATAACATGAGCTCATTCAACTCACCAAGTGGTAAGATCATGCTCCTTAGTAGAGTTTAGAGTTGTGAGTAGGCAAAGGCTTTCATCTGCTACCTGTAGTTTTAGCACTTTGGATGTAGTTGCTAATACTAGCTTTAGCGTTCTGTAGTTTTATGCCAGTGATGAGCAGATCTGCAAAGCAGTTGTGGAAGACCATACCATGCTGCTGCAGAAACGGAGGGTATGTGCTGCTTAGGAGACTCCTGTTCTGACTAGTCACTCCAGTTGTTTTTTGATGATACCCAGTAACACTGGGAAGTTCTGGGTGAGAGCCCCTTTTCCGGGTCCCAGGCATTAAGCTTGTTACCTGGCATCAAGTAACATCTGATGGAGAATAACTGGTGACATCAGAGCTCTAGTTCATGTGTGGCTCTATTCTTTCATTCCTGGCTGGGGGTGACAATTGAGGGTCTCTGGCCCTTTTTCTCTGCAGTGGGAGTACATTTTCTTCTAGCTTAAAGGCCATGCAATGGCTTTGGTGTAGAAAGAGTGCAGGTCTGGCTGTGTGAAATTGCCTCCTCCCTCCTTCCAGCCTGATGCTTCCACATTGCTCTCCAGTATGCAGTGTGAGAGAGAGGTGAGAGGCTCAGGTGGGAGATGGCTTCTCTGAGTTGGAGAGCAGTGCCTGGCTGTGTGAGTTGCTTTCCTTTTTCCCCACAGGTGGCAGCTAACCATGCCTCTCCTAGCTGGACCTTACCCCCATGTGCAATGTGTAACCTGTGCAGGGCAATGTATAAATACTAATTTATACCTAGAATACAGTGTTTAGGGGCTTCAGAACCAGAAGTCTTGCTAGCCTGTGGATGCTGCAGCATGTGTCCTTTGGGCACCTTCTGAAGAGCTAGATTGCTAATGTGTTCAAAATGTTCAAGTCATAAAAATGGCACACTTATTTTCTATTTAAAATATGTTCAACAACTGGTAGCAATAGTCACAGCAGCAGTGTGTTTGACTGCTGGAAAGCAAGTGCACTGCAGACCTATCTTATGCCTTCATCTCTCCTAAGGAGACTCAGCTGCTGAGGCACAGCAGAAGCTCCAGGATCTACCCTGCTTGTTTTGTTTTCTCTCTCCCCACAAGCAGCAACAGCTCAGGGCACCATGAACAGCGGACCTGGCCCTTCCCTCCTTGCTGGGAAGGCGGTACAGGATGAGATGTTGAGAAGTATCACTTGTTCCCCATCAACCCAAGAGTAAAACAGATCAGATAGACATGTTGTGTGGCCCAGACTTTGCTGGCAAGATCGTGTTACCCTGGAGTCACTGTAGCGTAGAGGATGATTTTTCCAAGTCATACAGTTAGCTCCGCCTCTGGGATGCTGACCAGTGCTCAGCAACTGGATAACCTCCTCGTGAGGCCACTGGGAACTGGAGTTATGGGTTTTCTTGCTGTCCTGTCTGAAACCTCTGTGACCCAGAAAGCACATACTCTCCGAGCAAAGAGGGCTTCTGCTCTTCCTTTACTAGGAAGGCATTAAAAGACAGTAATAGAAAATCAATGTCATCCTTGACAGCAATGGTTCATCTTATTTTGGATGCATCAGCATTAGGAGAGTTGTAAATTGCAAGCATCTCTAATAGAAAGAGAGACTGAGTAGACTTGGCGGGCAGGATTGAAATAAATCATTCTGCCACATTCTCACTTCTAATAAGGGGAGGGGGATCAGATGCACGCACAGATGCCAGCTGTCTAAAGTGTTAACACGTCAACAGCCTCAGTACCTATTAGAGTTCCTTTGCAGAAATTCAGGATTATTTGCTAGAAGTTAAGCCATGGAAAGTAGGCTGATGATCAAGAAAAAAATCCACTGATTAAGGATGTGGTGGAAGTCCTGTTCTCTGCCTGAAAAATAGAACTGGACATGACACTAGAATGTGTGCTACTAGGAAGCAGTTCCCTATTAATGCCATAATAATATGGCCTCGGTGACCCTAAAAGCTCTTCTCTGGAGGAGACTGCTTGCGGATTAAATCTGCTGAGGAAATGTGAGAGACTTACAGAACTCTGCGGTCTTTTCAGGATAAAACACAGCAGTTGCTGCAAAATATCTGTGCATTCTTCCACTGTTGCTGCTGCTAAGCTCTTTAAAAGCCAGCAGGTTATAAAAGAGAACAGAAGTGTGCCAAGACTGATGGCTCCCATGCTCTTCACTTTACTTTTCCTAAAATGTGTTTTCAAAGTATACCTCTGGCCTATGTGTTTCCATGTCACCTTCAAGTGCTCTTAAACATTTCCCTTTACAAAGAAAGCAGCTGATCAAAACTGTGCAGGGCCCCTTGAAGAGGGAGAAGGCAGATGATGGTACAAGCTGTTGGGGATGAAGGGGTTTGGGCGCTTGCTTTGTTGGCTTTCTTTGTCCTCCAGCATGTTTGAGCTGTTATAGTTCACTTTTGTCTTTTCTCTGTCACAAGCCCCACCTTTCTTTCGCATACGTAAAGTTCTCTTTTATGGTGGTAAGACCTCTCCTTCTTTCTTTCGCTTTCCTGTAGTTTTATCCCCTTGGTGTCAAGCCTCTCCTTTACTGCTTAGATGGCTAGGTAGTCCTAGTAGCAGTCCTTGGGCTTATGCTTCTGTGGCTGCTTTGCAGCTTCCTCTTCTGCAAGTTAGTAGTGTGTTAAATGTCCTAAAAACCAGGAAAAGGCTTGAATTACTTGCTTTTAGTGCACTGCTTAATTTTGAGGAAATAAATCTGATTTGAGTCCTTTTTGCCTCCAAGTCAGACTTTCCCTCTGCAGGAACAGCGCTTTCCCCATGTGGGAACAGCACCTGGGTGGCAGCACATATCAAAGTTAATGAAGTTATAATTGTCCATTGATTTCCTCACTCTTGCAGGGAGCTAAGCAGGCACAGTTATTGCTGTGTTTGTTTCCAGTTTTAGATCTGCAGAAAGAGCTTTGCATCTTCTTCTGCAGTTGTTCTTGAGGGAGGTCAGCAGTTCAGACACTGAGTACACTCATACTTCCATAGTGCTCAAGAAAGATACAAGATTTTTTAATGTAAAACATGAATGGACGTTCCTTGGCTCCAAGACAAGCAAATTCACTGTGAAGAGTAATGGATCATAGTACATGTGAAATAGTAGCACATGTAATTTGTCTATCAAACCATCACCCCTGGGGACTATGTCTCTCAGATATTTGGCATCTTAATTTCTTTAAAACAAAGGTTAGGTTTCTTTTTTTTGAGATTGTGTCTGTGTGGATCTGCTTGGATTACTATAATGTGGATTAGAAGGAAATCCGTATTACACTGTTACAGAGGTTTGCAAACAACTCACTGGAGTGTTCCACTGCTTGGGAGTTGACAAGGCTTATGGAATAATTACACAGTGAAAGTTCTTTGGTTTTGTGTTTTCAGTTGGATAATTCGTAATTTATTTGGTCTTTCTTCTTGTGCATGTTGTTGAAGCTTCAAGAGAGATGTGGAAGTTTCTTAATGTTGTGAAATATTTGCAAGAATTCACATTTGATATTGTAAGATAAGCTTGTCTGTCAGGTAACTGATTAGAAATCTGGGGCCACATTACATCATTAAGACCTATCTTCTGCTGATGAGTATCTGTAGCGTGTATTGCTCACGTGTGCATATAACTACCCAGTTACTGGATACTTGTACCAAATCCTAGATGAAACCCATTCACAGTTAAGAGAAAGACTTTCACTTTTGAACATAATTGGATCCTGTGGACATGTCAGCAGTGATACCCTTGGGAAGTTACATCAATAATAAGGTAACCACATAAAAGGTAGGAAGACAAGTCTGAAGTCAAATTTTGGGGAAAAAAACCTGAGTCTAAGCCAAAATCATGTATATTTTTGTCTCGTATCTCACACTGTAGTCACGGACTAGCAGCTTGCTGTGGTGCTAGAGTGAACAAAGAAGCCTGGCGCAAAGGGTATTTATGCTGTTAAAGCTTGGCAGAAGAAAGAGATGGATATGGACAGGCAACACTGGGGAGTGGCAGTGCAGAATTGGTCAGCTGAGAATTCAGGATCTCAGTACAGGCAAAAGCTGGCTGCCGAGTCCTCTTAGCATCATGAAAAAGGAATTAATTTTATTCTTTTCCAGGAGGATTTTGAAGAAAAGCAGTGCAATAGAAAGAGCTCCCTGTGTAAGCACAAGGGATGGCTTGGGAGAAAGTGTTGAGACGCTTTTGGGAGAACTTAACAAGTAGTTTAAAAACAGGGATTGTGGGCTGATAAGAGGTGGGAGTCAACTGGTGAAAGATGGTAGTGTGGATGTAGGCTGTAAAGGGCCTTGAGAGTGAAGACATGGAGCATACATTTCTCAGGAGAGAGGGAAGCGGTGGTCTAGGGAGATGATCTCTGCAGAAACGTAGGTCTGAGTATGGCAAGTGCTTCAGCAGCGTAGGTGTGTGGGAAGGGTCATGTTGTGGAGGTATGTGCGTTTTACAGGGGAGGAACTACATTGTCCCATCATAGCCTGGGTACAAAAAACATAATGAAACCTGGCAGGAGGCAGAGGCTCAGCAGCAGGTAAATATCCATGGGTTGCTTCAGTGGACTGTGCTCAGAAAACATTTGCCTTCTGAAAGAGAAGTGTCAGAAAGTTCTCCCAAACTGGGGATCAGGGAAGGCTCTAGCTCCTGTGTAGCTCTTTTGAACTTGCTTGTGAGTCACATTGTCAAACTCTAAAGAACTTCTTTCTGCTCTTTCTCTTAGGGCATGTAGTGTAACATGTTGGTATATTGCCTTTGTTTATATCCAAGAATGAACAGATTAACTGTCTTTGATTTGTTTCCTGCAAAGATGAAATCTGGACTGTCATATATTAAATGGAAACGCCTTAAGAGATTGCTCTATTTTTATTGCGTTGACCAAAAAGTCTTTAACAAATGGAAGTATTAATTTGAGCTACAGAAATAAACTCCAGAGCCCCAACAGTCAACCAGCAAGAACCCCTGCATGCTGCTAAAATCCTGTGTTGTGAAGATTTTGTGGCTCTATAGGTGCTTCATCCTCAAAACCATTGCATACTGCAGGCATGCTTTATAAGACCCTCCTGTGCCTGATGCAGTGACAGTAGTAAATTCAGACCTAACTGCTTTTTTTTTTTCCTTCCTTACAGAGCATGAGAAACACAGACTGTGTAAAAGTGCAGACTATATGAATTTACACTTCAAAGTGAAGTGGCTGTACAATGAATATGTTCGTGATCTGCCTGCCTTCAAGGGAAAAGTGCCTGAATATCCAGCGTGAGTGTGTTATGTCTCCTGTAGTAAATCTCCGCTATGCATCTGCTTGTGCTACCTTGAGGGTAGCCATTTGGTTCTCCTGTGGCTGCCTTCATGATACACCATTTCTTCTCTCCTGATTTTCTGTGTTCATGTGCATGTTTGTCCCCTCTGGTGTTCTGTGACACTGTCCCTAACACAATTCAATCCCTTATTGTACAGTATCTCCCAAGATCTCAAAAGCTTTAGCAATGGCATGGACAGTGTTTAAGCTGCTTCGTGCATACAGTGTGTGCTTTGGTCAATTCTTCCAACAGCAGAATTCTAGATATATGCTTACATTCTTGTGTTAATAGATACAGCTCTATCTGTATGTACTGTATGTATGTCTCTATGAGTGTGTGTGAATGTCCTACACACACAACAGGCTTTGTAAGTAAAGATAATGTTTTCTTTTTTTTAAGTCCAGGTGGTTTATTTGGAAATGTCAGATAAGCCATCACTCTTAAGTTCTAAGCAATTGTTTGCAACTTTTATTTAACTTTAAAAGAGCAGCAGTAGATTTCAGACCTGAAGAAGGTTTATGGGCCCAAAAAGTTGTCCGAGCAACCTGGAGAGAATACTGTAGCTAGAGTCCCACACTTGGCTTAAGGCAAGAGCAGGTGTGTTGTTTCTGACCAGCGTTTTTAACTGGTTTTCAGGGGCTTTCAGTGATGGTTGCTCCACATCTCCTTCAAGCAGCTTTTTTCTCTGTGCTTCACTGTTACCTCTCCCACTGGGTTTTGGGGGTTTACCACACTCCCCTTTTTCCCCCTCCAAATCTTTCTTGCTTCCGTTTGAACTTGTTATATCCTGCCCTACCAGCCTAGGCATGGCGAACAAATTGTTCCTGTTTTACAAGAGTAAAATGCTTTTCTTATGTCCCTTCTCAGTCTTCTGCTGGTTCCTGTTTGTTCCCAGCTTTCCTTGTAAGTGAGGTTTACTCACCTCTCTCCAGCTGGTCTGTGTCTGGACATAAAACACCCAGAGCTAAACGTTTCATCTAGACCTTGCCTGCATTGACTTGCAGGCAGTGCTGCTGCTTTCACATGCTGGGATGATAGCAGCCTTTTGTTTTTTTTTTTTTTTCTTTTCATTCGGTGGTATTGTTGACTAGTGATGGTTCCAGTGGGCCACAAACCAGCCCTCAGGCACCCTCAACAGTGTCCTAGCTGTTCTTCACATCCTGCGTAGGACTGTTCACTGCTGTCTAAATGCAGCACTTCACACTTGCCCCTCTTGAAAAAAAAATCTTGCTTGCACTGTGTTTCCAGTTTGGCATTTTGGATTCTCCTCCCATCCTGCGGTGCACGCAGTCCCTCAGGCCTGGTGCTCGCTGCATACTAAAGACTTGAGGCAGTTGGTGTAATTGCTCGGCTTGGGCTGTGGGCCTTGCTTAACAAATCAGGTCAGCAAGAGGCATTAACTCAGTGAATAGGGTGCTGGAGTGACAGCCTCAGAAGGGTTTGCTGTGCCTCTGAGTCAGTGCAGTCTCAGGCAAGCCATCAGATATTCTTAATCTCTTTTTCTCCTGTGTAGTCAGGATAATGATGCTCAGTTTCGCTCTGCAGTCTTTTGCAGACTGTTCTGCTCTGCTGGCCTTTGTGGTAGAGCTTCACTGCTCCAGTACATTTGCAGCCGTTGTCTTTGTTACTTCACTCTTGTATTTTAGTACAATAACCACATTGTCAGACACAGGTGATGTTTATTTCAACCATAACCTTCACCTGTCATGAAATATCCCCTTGGTATCAATTACAGCGATGTGCTCTTGTCCTTTGATTTGCTTCATCACAAGTATTTTTAGTCTTGAAGTTTCCTTAAACAAAGGAGTCCATGGATCAGGTTTGCACATCAGTAAACTCTTTAGATGAAGCCAAATTGCTGCTGTCTAGAGAACAGCTGAGTTGTCTGTCTACTTGACAGAGCAGAGGCTATCCACAAACTCGTTTTTCGTGTTGAAACTATGAGAAACCATGTTTCTGATGGTCTTGAGGTACGATTGAATAAAGTGAAGGCTCCAAAGTATTGAAGCTGCACTGAAGTTTTTACACTCCCCTTATTTTCTGAAATGCAGCAGCAGTTTCTGAAACTCAGCAGCAGTTTCTGAAACTGAAGTAGCAACATAGCTGGGAGTGGATCTTCAAAACTTCCTCTCTTCACTTTTTAGCTGCCAGCCAAAAGCCATGAAGTGTCAGTTTCCGAAAAACCCTAGCTTTTTAGATGTGTGAAGAGATGTTCTATGTTTTGTTTTAGTACTGATGTTAGCATGCAGCTAGTGTTGTAGTTGTACTGGAGACCACCTCCTCTCTGGTGGAAGAAGGCATTATATCCTTTGAAATCCTGTCTTCTGGCTCACTTCATCAAACATAGTATTCTTTTACTCTTTGAAATCCTGCCTGCCATCTTGCCTCTGCACTTGCCAAGGCCCACAGATGTTCACTGGGTACCCACATGCATCAGCACAGCAAATGAACAAGATTAATTCACCTGTAAAATCTTGAGGCCACAGGAGCCAGGCTCACGGCCAAGCTGAAATTGCAGTCTTTTGTGTTGCGTTACCGTTGTGCAGCCAACAAAGGTGAACTTTCATTTAGTCACAAAGCATTGCTCCCTTTCCCGGCAGGCAGGACTGAGGGATATTCTCTGCAAACCTCGTTTGCAGAGGTTGGCTGTGCTGTCTTGAGTTGGGCTGTGCTGACCCTGCAAGCACAGAATGTCTCTGAAGCAGCACCGTGAGCCTCTGCCTTGTGTACTGGTGCGTGAGTCATTATGCCGTTTGCTTCTAGATCAATAATTGAAGCAGACAAGGAAGAAGATATTTGCCATATAACAACATTTTGAAGCTATTTCTGCGTGAAATCAGATTATTTTTATTAGTTTCTGTGCTAGATAATTTTGAATATCTTTTTGGATATGTTGCCTTTGTAGTCCTCAGAGTACCCTCCTCATTTGCTCAGCAGCCCAAGACCTGATAGAAAAACCCTGTAAGGGGTGTTTGGCCTAAGATGACTCTAGGTTTGTGTTACAGCTCAAAGCACGTTTTGGTCGTGAGTGTGCCCAGGGACTGGAAGTATTTATAGATTATTTATCTCTCTTGTGTTTCCCTGCCAGCCAATAAGGGACAAAATTGAGGCTAGCTTTGCAAATGTAGTTACAGAATTTCCTGACCTGATCCAAGTGATTCACTTTGCACTTAAACATTCATATTAAAACTCTTTCTCAAGGTAGTGCATTTTTTTTATTTGGGGGGCAGGTGGTGGTATTTCTCCTCCCCAACCCCCCATAGTACTTTTTTCCTTACTACCTGTATTTAGACAATTTGATAAGACAGTAAAATACCTATGCACTGGATTTTGTGCATCAACGTACAGTAGCCATAAAAATGGGCAATGACTCTTGTCCACAGTGAATGGCCCTTTCTTATGGATATGGTGCAATAACTAAGGATGAATGATAATCAGGAAGTAGTTCCACTTCTCAGAGCGAAAATTGTGACTTCTGGCAAAAGCAAGTAACCGTCCCTGTACATGGACCAATGAAATGTGAAGCAGTCAGCGACTTTCAGCCTGGGAACTGTGAAAGAGGTGGAAGATGTGTAGTCACTTCCTTGTAAACTGCCCGAGTTCTCTTCTAAGGATTGAGCTGTTGTTTTAAAGTATCCTTTTGTAATTGATAACAAAATGTTGAAGCTTGAGAAACCTGCAGCAGACTCTAAAATATGCTGACTTTTAAGAGCCTGAAGTGCCATTCAAAAGGAATTTTTCCAGAACACAGGAAGTTCATATGTCTGTGACATTACAGTGCTGCTGTCTATTAAATAGGGCTGCATAGACAGGTTTTTGTTGGCATTTAACACTGTGTCAGTTACTATTTCCGATATTAGCATTGATGTGCTTTATATTTCAAAGTGTAGAGAGTATTTAAGGCTATCTAGTATGCTCTGTCTGAATTTGCTCTTGATCTCCCTCTCATGTCTGGCACATGCTTTCATGTTCTTTGCAAACTCAGCCCATAATTAGCACAATCTCTATGAACACAGCTGCCTGGTTAGAGGAGGCTGTACTCTGCGAATCTCCTATAATAATCTTTTGTATGGACTGAAATCACACATGGGCAGTTTTCTCCCTTATTTGTGAATGCTGTTTAGTAATATTTGAAATTAAGATTTGCTTCAGCTGCGGTACGTTGGCACTTGCACACAACAAATCCTAGACAGACATTTAAATAAAGCTGTAAGTGCTAAGTTGTTCATTAAACACAGACAACCAGCCCCCACCCCTCCCTGCTTTTGTACTGTGTGGATATGCTCCACAGAGCAGAGAACAGAGGGATGACCAGCTGTAAGAGCCCATCACTGAAGCTGCTTCTCACCTTGCCTATTTGGCCAAGGTGGGGTTGTGTAGGAGCCTTGTGTTCAGTGCAGGAGGTAGCTCCAGACACCACCTCAAGTAAGGCATCTCCCTGAGATACAGCAGTGGCTGTTTCAGCAGCTTCTTGCATTCTGCTCTACCATTTAGCTTATCCTCCTAAGTGAGGAGGAGGAACAGAGGCAAACTTTGCTATCCTGCTTCCAGGACCTGCCTGGTTCAGGGACTTGACCATGCTCCAAGGCTGTTGGCCCAGCACTTCACATGAACTAAGTTTATGCTTCTTTAAAAGAAAACAATGAAGAGCTGCTTGCAGGGCTGGCCAGCTTCCTGCAAGCCCTAGCAGATGTGCCGTGCTATCACCAGAAGTTTATCTTACTCAAGGATCTTCATAGTGAGATCAACAGCCCGTAGAAATGTGAGGGTGTTCTAGAGAAGGCCCTCAGAAAGGGAGAGCAGGATTAAAGTAGAGGAAACTTCTAGCCTTGATTCTTCCTCCTGGCACTCCAGAAATATGTCTGTATCTGCAGATAAAGTGGCTGAAGGGCCCTGGAAAACAGGCACTTCTTTTCCTCCCTTTATATATGTTTGCAGCTCTCACATGAAAGATGGTAAACCCAAATGGGCAGCAGGATAGTGTGCCATCTCCCTTAGCATGCAGAGATAGTGGGATTGGAGGTCTCCCTTGTCCTGTCTGGCACATGGGTAAAAGGTGAAGAAAAGACAAAGTGCTCTGAGGTGATGCAAAGTTAAAGGTGGGGCTCAAGGGGAAAAAAAGAGGAAGGTACAAAGAAAGAGGAAAGATAGGGAGAAGGACAAAGCCAGCACAGGACCAACAATCTGCAGAGGCCAGGCTGGGCTGTGTTCTGCTTGTCCAGCCCAAGTGATGGTACAGCCCCTGCTCACTGGTAGCTTATGTACAGGTAGGAGCATTTTTGGGAACTTTAGCTGCACGCACAGATGACAGCATTCAGACATCTCAGTGGCAAGCTTTCACAAGGCTTGCTGGAACAGCAACACGGTCTGAGTCTTGCTGGGGTGCTCTGTTTCTTGCTGTAACCTGCTGTCTTTCCTGTCCCTCCTGCAGGTGGTTTGAGCAGTTTGTGATGCAGTGGCTGGATGAAAATGAAGATGTTTCCTTAGAATTCCTGCATGGTGCTCTGGAGAGAGATAAAAAAGATGGGGTATGTAGGTCACTCTGAGTGGAGGGCTTGGCGCTACATCCTTCAGTGCCCAGAACCAAACAACAACAGCTGTCATACAAATGGAGGATGCAGCCCTTTTTGCTTGCTAGTCAAATGGGAAACTTAGTCAAATGCTAATGAAGTGGGTGTATTTCAGATCCTTCCATTTGAGAATGACTGTTTGTACTTCTGTTTTAGTTCCAGCAAACGTCCGAGCATGCTCTGTTCTCTTGCTCAGTGGTGGATGTCTTCACCCAGCTCAATCAGAGCTTTGAGATCATTAAGAAGCTGGAGTGCCCAGACCCTGTCATTGTTGCACATTATAATAGGAGGTTTGCTAAGGTAATGCCCCCAGCATCCAGCTCTTTGTCTTCCCTCAGTGGAATGCAAAACAGTATGATTTGTTTTTCATTTTATTTCCTGGAGTTCTCTTGCAGCTATAGAGGACAAGTAACAGTGCTCACATCTTGTCTTCGCAGACTATTGGGAAAGTGCTGATGCAGTATGCTGACATCCTCTCCAAGAGCTTCCAGTCCTACTGTTCCAAGGAGAAACTGGTGAGTCGTGCTGAGCTTCTCTTCTGCCCTGAGGAATCACATAATTGTCCTAATGAAATCAAGCTTCTCACACTGCACCTGACCGTGTTGATGGTGTAAATATTTTCAGTATTGTTTTTATCATCATTTGTATGCTTTTTGCGGATTGAATTCTGGCTTGGCCATAAAATAAAACTAGGTCCTGAAGATGATCTTGCAGGGCTTGGATGCTGTCAGGTCCCCTTGAAGTTAACTTCGACTCTGCCCATCAGGGTTGCGTGTCACAGAGGTGAATAAAAAAAAGAAAAGGGGCACAGATTGTTCTCTTGATCTGGTACATAGCAGCAGTCTTGGTTTACTGTTGTGTCTTGAGAATCTAGTTATCTTGCTGTTTAATCCTGAATTCAGTAAAATTCTGTGTATTAAATAAAACAGGGCCTTACATTTTTGAACCCTGGGTCTATCCCATGCTGGTTTTGCTATCTCCCACACCTGTACTGGGAATGTAACTACAGAGGGAAGAGTCTATTGGTCAGGATGCCCTTGACTATTGTGCTCAGGCTTGGCTTGCAGGACCCAGATGTGTCTCTGAATGCAGCTTTGGCCAGCAGTTCCCCTTCTGATCTGGGAGGTACGTTCACAATAGTACACTGCAGCGTTAAGAGGCTGAAGGTGACACAGCTTGGACTCTCGCAGGGCATGGCAGAAGCTGCAGAGTTGGGCCTTGTCCTGACACTGATTTCTTGTCAGCTCATTCTCTGTTTGTGATAAAGCTGAAGAGGAAAATACAACAGCAGAGATCTCCCTGAGCTGGGTTTCTGGAACTGGTCATCCCATTTTAAGCTGGAGGAAGAAATTACTTGTCTTTTTTAGGTTTAAGTGCTGAAAGCTGTGCATGCCCTACCTCCTACTGGAGTCTCAGATCTGGTGGTACTTGGGGAAGGGTGTTGAGGCATAGACTGTACCACTGGTGAAAATATGTTGGTATCCTGAGGAGTAACAGGCACCTGCTTCTGTCCCTTCAGCCCTGTATCCTGATGAATAACATCCAACAGCTGAGGGTGCAGCTAGAGAAGATGTTTGAAGCCATGGGTGGTAAAGAGGTAAGAGTGCTAAGAGGCTGAGTATTACTCCAACTGCACTGTTACTAGGTTATTTGCATTGTACTGGTGGTAGTGTGAGGGGACAGCCGTGCCTGAAGACTTTTCAACAAAATTTATCATAAGATGAAGGAGCGAATGTTTCGAGGCACAGAATAGTGTGGAGGAGGAAAGAGAAGGATATGTACTGTGCTTATGTGGGCTGGATGTGGGCATGGCTGGCGGTTTCACAGCTCTGCAGACAGACAGATAGGTCTGAGAACTGTTGACATCAAGTTATTTTATGTGGCATATAAATGTGGGAGAGTACCTTTGGCAGTAAATGTCCGATATCTAATATATTGCAGACATGCAAATAGGAGTTCTGTGCTCATGCTTTGTTGAATACTCAGATGTGTCCATGAATATAAATATCTTAGGTTTTGTTCTTTGTTCTGAGATGGCCATTTTTACAGAAATACGGTTTTCCTCCCCCAGATCACTGTGTCTGTTCTGATGTAATCCATGTATCTCTGTTTTTGTCTTCTGTTTTTCATTGCTTTTCAAGATTCGGGAAGATGAAGAAAAGGCTGCTGATGCTGATGTTAGGAAAAAATTATTTTCAAAGCCTAAGTGCATTCTCTTTGGTTGTGTTGTGGTAGAATCTGTGCTATGACCTGTATGTCAAAAGGAAAGTCAGCTTTGCTGATGGACAGCTCAGTTTTTGCCTGTATTGCTGTTTCAAATCTTTCTTGTGTTCAGTGGCAGAATTCCATGAAGTGGCAAAAATCTCAACAAAGAGATTTACCCCATGAGGCAAGGAAAAGTGCTGCTATTCTTTTGCATGTGATCCCAACAATCCTACTTTCTGAGCTCTGCATCAAGAACTAGAACTGTATGCTCCCAGCTGTAATTGCCGTGGTAGCTAAGTGCTTATTTTTCAGGAAAAAATAAACTTGTGATGAAATGTTTGTGAAGTGGTTTATAAAGCTTTAATTCATGCACCCTTATTTTCCCTTAAGGAATCAATTTGCTACTTTTTTCCATGGTGGTGGCCATTCAGTAGGGTTTCCCTGGATTTCAAATTGAAAATACCACCTGCAAATTGAAAATACCACCTGATAGTGTGTTAAATAGGGGGAGAAAAAAAGTGTTTATTAAGACTGCTGGCTACTTTTCCTAGCTTAGACGTCTTCTCTGCAGTCTGCCCTTTAAAACCTTCCTCAGGAGGAATAGGTAAGGTAGAACAGAGGTGATGAATCCACTATTTCCCCTGCACTGTGGAATCAAAAGAAAAAAAAGGAAGAGGAACCCAGATTGTGAGCAATAAAACACATAGGAAGAAACCAGGCAAACATGCTAGGAAGCTAGGTTTTGGAAGTGATTTTTTTCTTTTCTTTTCAAATGCTGCCTGTCCACTTCACTAGTCTGCCACTGATCACCAGAAATAAATCGTGTTGTGTTAGGTGCCTGCATTATTTGCTGTCCCCAGGGGTTTCCCTCTTGGTGACTATGTAGTACTTTGCTTCTTGACTTGAAACCTGCTAGGTCCTCTGTTTTGCTAGAGTAAACAAGGTCTTGTCCTAGTTTGAGTAGTCCTTTTTCTGACGTAGATTGAACGTGGATAGTGAGTAACAATTGGTGAGACAACAGCTTTGAAAACAGAACATGTAGACAAACGTGCTTGTGGAAATGCATCTATGGGTTTTATCCTCTCCTTCAGGAAGGGCAGTTCTTACTTTCTGTGACAAGATTTGATTTATTTTCATCTATACATCACACAGTAGCTTACACAAACATAAGCATTGTCCTGACTTCTCTACCCAAAAAAGAACTGCTTCCTTGGGGGAATAAGAAGGTAGCGTAGGGGTATGTCCTGGTTATCTTGAACTGTTCACCTTTTTGTGTTCTCAAAGATGTTGTTGAGAACTAGGTACCAAATACCCCATTGTTCCTGTGGCAGGTATGTTAGATGTACCATGTGTGAAGCCAGAACTTGGGGATTGGTTTCAGTTACTGTGTACTTGTGGCTTCATCTGCTTCTGATTCACAGATCCATCTCCAGCTACAGTGCAAGTACAGTGCAGTGTGGCACTGCACAACTCTGGAAAGCTTTGAAATACTGCTGCTACTTAGTGTTCTTTGTCAGTGCATCCAAAACACAGTCCTACAGAAATCCATACCACTTACTCCTTTTGCAGCAAGGGAAATGAAGGGACAGGGCTCACCCACAGTCACCCTGCAGTATAATGGCATAACATGGAACAGAAGTGCTTGCCCAGTAATATTTCTTGAGATTGGGCTCCTTGATATAGTGCCTGCCTTTACTTCTTTTCCCCCCAGATGAGGCACGGTACCTTTGCCCCTACTTCTCTTATTCTTTTTCTAACTGTAGTACTCAGAAGGCACAAAACAGGACAAAAATTGCCCAGCATCTCTGGGTTTAATGTGTTGACATCATGTGGTCTGTGAACATTACTAGTCAGAAACAATGAGGACAGTAGCACAGCTTTAGAGCGCTCTGTGTGGAGGGATTCTCTTGGGTCTGTGCTTGAGATCTCAAGGCATCCATGCATATATACACACACATATATATATACACACGTGCACACAGAGAAAGACGTATCTTAAATGATTTTGAGGATTTATAATTAGTACTTTTACTTCCCTTCTGAGCTGTGTTGATCTCATGGGATTGAAACAGCTTCACTGTCTCAGCAGCATTCTCAGACATTCCTGAAGCATGTTTTGGAAAGGCAGCATTTATGGAGTGGCACGTAGCATTAAAAGCCTAATGAACAGTGGAATTGCGGGGCGAGTCCTGGACAGAAATTGAGTACATGAATACCTTTTGAAACCTTTGATTCCTCTGAATCATCTCCAATACACTTAGAGAATGGAGATCATAATTTAGCTCTGTGCTTAAGTCGGCTATATAGATTCATTGCTAGTGTTTGCCTGAACTTGGTCCCATTTATTTAATTATTCATACATTATCTAGTAAAACTTAATGTGACCTGCATTTTCTACCCTCCTTTGCAGTTTTCGTGCAGACTTGAGCTCTGTGCACTGTCTCTGACTCCAGAATAAGCCTTTCTCATTTTGCTTGAGGGAGATGGCTTTCTGCAGTCCATTATTTTGCTTAGCTTTTCATAAGTTATGAACTCATGGCACTGAAATTAAAAGCTGCTGTGCTGCATTGCCCACTGCTGAAGCCTAGATGTGCTGTGGAGGCCTAGTTTAAAACATTTCTGCACTTTTTTTTTTCCCCCAAAGTCAAGCATGTGGGATGAGTATCAGAGACAAATGCTGCCTAGGGAACCCAAAGAATTAGCTGCTGAGTAACAGCACATTGTCATCATACAATTTTCATGCCTTCGGTTTCAAGCTAATCTGTACAATTAATGCTTCAGGAAGCACTCCTCTTAATGCTCATCCAGGGTTAGCCCACATTTTAAATCCTAAGTTAGCCACCTGAATAACGAATTGCAGGACAATTTAGAAACGGCCAAGACTTGATAGGAATGTTCTCAAAGGATTTGTGGTATCTGCTGATTGCTCCTCTTTAGCATCCCACGTGCCATAGCTAAGGCCACCCTAGTATTTGAGAAGCCGGCAGCTATTTGGATTCAGCGCTCCAGGATCCTTATTCTTGAATGCTATAGGAAAGTGGGGAGATGCATGAAAATTCAGTGCAAGTGAGACCACCCTAAAGGGAGGCTGAATCTGTTGAGCTCCCTGCTTCACAGTCACCTCTGCAGAGGGGAGCTCCCAGGTGCTAGTGGAGGGAGGCAGAACAAAAATCAGCAACTTCAGGCTGGAGCCAGATGAACTCTATAATTTGCATAAAGCTAAAATAGGATAGCAGGGCAAAATTCTGTAGTTGTTGATCAAACCTGATGATGTCACAGGTTCTCTGGCTTTAAGGCGTGAATTGATTAACATCTTCAACCTTCTAGAAGGCAAGAGCTATGTTCCTTCAGCTACAGAGAAGCCTTCCAGTTCTGGTCACTTGCACTTCACCAGTGTGCATAGAAACCAAAGAAGAACTAATGACATCTCTTGGAAAATTTGGAAGGCCATCACAGCAAATTCTTAAGACTCATGGATTCCATTTCATCCATGAGAGAAGCAGGAGAAGATCAACCTAAATTGAAGTTCATAGCACTGTGCTGGAAATGCTACCATTCAAATTAGCAGAGAACTTGAGGTTCCAGCCCTGAATGTGCTTGGATGAAACTTCGAGGCCCAGATTCGCTGAAGTGCCGAGTCCCAAATCTTTGCAGGAAATTAACAGGGCCCTACTTTCTTCTGCTGTCCCTTCTTCCAGTATAGGGCTGGCAATCGACCTTTCTTCTGCTCCTGAGCAGATCAGTTTGTAGTCAATAAGTGCCATAGCAAGGACAAGCTTAGAGGCAGTTGGTGAGCTCTCCATGTCACCTCACAGTGAAACAAGTCATTAATTGCATGGTTCATGAACCAGTGCAATAAATTGTTGATCCTGACTTCAAACATCCTCTAGACCATGCATCTGGTAGCTTATAAAGAAGTAGAAGTAAACAGTGAGGAATAGGTGTCTTGTGCCAAACTCATCTGGCTTTTGTTTTTCATCTGGAAAAGCAGTTACTTGAAATGTTTTGACGAATTGTGAGCTGGTCCTGCCTCAAGCCTACCAGAAATGGCCAAAATCAGAGGACTGAGTGCCATTAATTGTACACATCAAACCAGTCAGGTTGTGACTCATTGCCCCTTTATACATTTGGAGAAGGGAAGGATTAATGTAGGGGCAAGACAAACCAGTACCAACAGATGCTGGTTTTATTTTGTTACCTATAAGCTTGGCTAGAATGACTGCTGATTGGCATGACATTAGCTTCCTTCTGCCTTCACAGAGCAAGAGTTATAAAGGTAATAGGAATACAAATTCACTTTAATAAAGGAAAATAATCAGAGCTAGCAATTCCGAAAGTTATAAGGCTTAAGTAATCATAATTTGCTTGCATTTTTTTAAATTATTTTAAAAATTCTGATCCAGGAGCTTCATTAGCACAGGTTCAAATGCCTAATAGAGTCAGTTTTATGTGCCAGTTTACCACAGGAAAATGAATGGATCACATTCCAAATCCCCTAAGGCTTGGCTTTCTGTGACAGATGCTGGGGAGTATGAAGAGGGCTTCAGCACCGAATATAGAAGTGGGAACTCCTGTCATGTTCAAATCCTGTATAGCTGCATGCATGGATATACTGTAAAAATCTAAACTGATTTTTAACCACTGTACTGGCATGTCGCTCATTACATTTGTAAATAGATACTCTGCCTTAGAGGTAAGGGCTGAAGCTGTGAATGCCAAATACAAACATTTCTGGAAGGTTGGTTTTTTTACAGGCACCTTGCCTGTCTGCATACACAGGCAAATCTGTTTTACAAGTTACGTTTTCAGAGGAAATGATCCCAAAGCATTCAACATGTGTTGCTACGTGCACACACAGGTAGGTTGCTTGGAAATGGCTCTTTCAAGGCTGGAGGAATGACTACAGTTGGAATACAGGGCACTGTTGAATGCAAAACAAGGTGGCTTTGGGCTGATAATAATGGAGCAAGCACTTTCTTACAGAATGTGCCAAGGTGTCAGCAGCGTCCATGTAGTGCCTGGGGCACTTTTTTTTGGTTTATTTGTGAAGTATCCTCTGAACAGTTGTATACAAAAAGCTATCTGGCTTCATGTGAGAGTAGAGCTACTTGTGCTCAGAACCCGTAGCTGAGATTATGCTTTCCAAAAGTGATCGGTTCCTGCCATGATATTGTGGCCAGATTTTCAGAATAGCTGGGGTCCAGTCCTCTGAGAGCAGTGGCTGGGTCAGTCTTCAGTTTGAATACTGACAGCACGGTGGAAGGTGAAATAGTGTCTTTCATGACCACGCATGGAGAAATGCACAAGTAAATAACATCCAGTCTGAAAAGCCCTGTCTCCTTCTAGACTTAGAGGAGTGAAATGACCCATGAGCCCAATGCAATGCACAGTGCTTGATGAATTCTCATCCTGCTTACTCTGTTGGCCACAGGGAGTTCACATTCACTTTCTTTCTCAACTTTGCAAATATCAGGAAGGGTATCGGAGGGTATTGGAGCCTGGGGAAACCACTTGCCGCTGTTTAGGCAAATATCTGTTGATGATTTCACAGCTTCTGTAACAGCAGCAGGCAGTGGATGAGAGCATCCTAGCTGGCAGAGTCCAGTGGTGATAGTTCACCTGCTTATTAAGAGTAGCCTCAAGAGTGAGGACCAGCACTGTGAAGGACAGCAGACTGCCCTCTGGGTTCAAGCTAAGTGCTCTTCTTTCACCCACAGTTGGATGCAGAAGCAAGTGACCATCTCAAAGAGCTCCAGGTGAAGCTGAACAATGTCTTGGATGAGCTGAGTGCTGTGTTTGGTAACAGGTGAGTATAATGAGGTCCCTGTCCTTGAAGCATTCCTTTCTTTTGTCTAATCTCATTCACTCAGGTTAAGAAGAGAAACTTGTGTCAACTGCATTATATTTTTCTTTTTGTCATAAATTCATGCTCTTTCAAATACTGAGACCATCTAAAGAAGTGAGAAATATTTTTAAAGTCTCTCTTTTCTATATTGCTCTGCTTAGAAATGTAACACAGGGATCTCTCAACTGTGAAATGTATTTGAGTTACATAGAGTGATCTTTTCCTGTAAGTAGTGCTTGTCAGTAACAGAACTGCCTGCTTTTATTGCTCGGAAACCAGTTTCCAGCTTCGCATTTATGAAGCAACATTCTTGTTTAAACATTCTGCTCTAAATGTATGAAACAGCTGACTGATTTCTGATTGTTAAATGAATATTGGAATAAGAAGGAAACAGGTTTAGAATTTGAGATTGACTTGTTCTAAAGTTGCATTGAATGCTGTTTTCTAATGTTTCAAGGGGAGAAGCTCTTTAAAGTATTGCCAGAGTAATTGATGGCAATTAAATTTTATTGCAAATCATGTTGCCATTTACCTGAGAATAAAAATGTGCTCGACTATGTTGCCATTTACCTGAGAATAAAAATGTGCTCGACTTCATAATAATTTTTTAGTGAACCATAAAAGATGTCAATTAAGCAAAATCCAGAAATACAGGGTTCCCAATTGATCTTCAAAAATCACTTCTCATGATAAACTTTATTCATTTCATGTTGTGCTTTATAACAAGATTAATGCAGGCATGAACTGTAGTATAGCTGAAACACCGGCGAGGGGAATAAAACAAATTGTACCAACTTGGCCTCCTACAGTCTACAGATTTGCAGTACTTATGACCAAAAAAAATTATGACAGGATTTGTCAGCAACTATTTGGATTTCAGCACATGGAGCTAAGTGGGGAGATAAGTGAGGACTTCCCATTGACAGTAGTGGATGCTATAGCAAGAAATGGAGAGGTTCAAACTGTAACTGAATTGAATCGATAAGGTTCATAATTAGATGGAGGATGAGTGAGAAATCATAATTAGGGGGTGAATTTTGTTATCTGAAACCTGTCTCCATGGCGTCACTGCTACAGGACAATTAGGGTACAATCTTGACATTTGCAAATTAAAGAGATTATTCAGTATCAGCATAAATACCCGGGAGTGTTTTAGAGAGATGTGCCAGCAAGAGATTTAGCCAGTCAGAGGGCTCAGATGCTTTCCTTGTTCTTTAAGAGTAATAGAGAATGAAAAGGAGAGCTGCAATTTACTGTGTAAGCAGAATCTTCTAAAGGATGTAAATGTGGGAGATAAGACAGATATCCGCAATATTCTGTGCAGAGTCTGTGAACAGTTGCTCCTACAACACTGTGCACACCTGACACTGCAGATCTTAACTTTTTTTCATCTATGTGGGATCATTGCACCTGCTGGGAAAGCATCACACATCTGGAGAGCCTCACCACCTTTGTGCTGTGTCCAGATACAATCCTCTCTCAGAAGCATTTTCTGCTTTAAAGGTTATCATAGAGAAAAGGCGCCTTGAAAAGGTTTATACTTTATGCAAGGCTAGCTGCTGTTTTGTTCTTGGAGGCGGTAGGAGCGCAGGAGGGAATTCCTGCAGGAATTAGGGAGCAGAAGGCCCTGTCTGACAGCATAGGTGAGGTTAACTTGCTGGTGCCAAGGGCTCCTGTTAAGCTGTATGCTACACAAGCTTCACTTCAAGTTGAACCTGTTGCCACAGTAACTGATTTATCATTTTTTGTAAGTGATGACAACTTTGCCTTGTATTAGTTTTTATCGTTTCAGGGATTCTGTTATTTTTTATCCCCTGGCTGGGGATTTACAGCATCTTGAAGCAGGGTTCTACAACTGATGCCGGATTTGGGAGAACTGTGGGGTGAGATTAGCCTGTAACAACAGGGACTGTCAGCAGTACAGGAAATGCTTGGTACTATTTTATTTGATGTGACGTATGTCTCTGGTTAAGCTGTCATTGTAGCCACAACTGGCTGCCGCAAGCCGCTCTCCTAGAAATGGGGAAAGTGGAAGTGGAGGCTGTATGGAGAAAGAGCTCTGGAATTGCTCCAGTGAGAGGCAGGTTAGAAGTGAGCAAGAGGGACCGTGAGGCGGGAGGTGGCAGTGCAGGAGAGGAAAGAGGTGACAGGGTGGAGAAGGAGCCACAGGGCAGAAGGGTTGTGTGCTAGCACCCAACTCACAGATGTCCTAGGTGGCTCACACAGCAGAAGTTCAGGCCACTTAGGCAGATATAAAGCTGACTTCCAAACCTGTGTTTCTGCTCTTTACCCCACGTTCTACCACAGACTTCGCTTCCTGTTTTCAAACCTCTGTGCTGTTAGTGGATAGCTAAACGTCACTTGTAATGCCTGCTGTTAATAACTGTTCTTTTATATGTCAAAGCATTTTCCTTTATTCGCTGAATTGATATGTTGACAGCTCTGCTGATCTATTCATCATTTTAAACCATTTTATTATTTAATTTTGAACCTCCTCTTAGCAGTGAAAGAAGGAAAAGTAACTGTGCTTTAATGGCTTGCATGTCCCTTCATTACAGTGACACTGTTCGTGTTGCAGCTGAGCCCCACATCCCATTTTGACATTTTGATATAGCGTGGACTGTATGGCAGTGGACTGGTTTCAGTCGGTGCCTGCCTTCAGGCTGCCTCTTATTTTAAAGACTTAGCCTATGATGGGTCATAAGTGAATTACTGCTGATGGACTCCTAGGTGCTCAAGAGTTGTGCATGCATTGTGCCATTGCTCCATGCTATATCTCAGTCTCTGTGGTGTAACACCCTGTGTAGAAAGCAAAGATACAGCAAGGGTGCTTTCAGCTAAGAAAAACAGTGTTCCTTGAAATCAGGAAAGGATCATTTGTTTCTGGAAGATGCATGAACAAACTCCTCTCAAGTGTGACTGTATCTTGTGTGCAGAGGTGGTAGGCTGTCTGTGGATGATGTGCATAAGGAACTGGGTAGCATGCCCATTAGTAATAAATATAGGAAGGAAATGAGCAGAAAATCTTGGGGAGAAAGAGTGTGTAATTGAGTGCATGGTTTATGAACCTGCAATATTTTACCTTATGTACTAAGAGCTAAGATCTCTGCCACTGATAATCTTGGTTTTGCCTCTCTCCTATCTGTTCAGCTTTCAGACTCGTATTGATGACTGTGTCAAGCAGATGTCTGATATCCTCTGTCAAGTGAAAGGGACAGGAAATGTTGCTGCTAATGCCAGAAACACAGTTGCACAAGATGCAGATAATGTCCTGAGGCCACTGATGGATTTCCTGGATGGAAAGTAAGCTAGTGTTCAAATATATGTTACACATACAGTGCATCAGATTGGGAACAGGATGTGGGAAGGAAAAATAGTTCCATGTTCTTGGATTGTTCTTGAGATGCCTGGCCTCTGAATTCTCAGGAAGAATTAATGGCTTTTCTTCTCTTATCTGCCTCTCTCTCAAGCCACGGATCACCTTTTCAGCCTTCATTCAGTGCCAGAGCACACTCTCAGTTCTCCTTTCTCTCTCTGGCAATTATAGCAATCAGCAAAACACACTGCTGATCAGGTAGTGGGAAGGACTGAAATTCTAAATTTACTAGCTACATTTCTTTTCCTGTACAAATTGTACTGTTGCCAATTAGCAAACGTATTGCAAACCATACTTACATACTTGATACATATACACCTCAGGATCCCAGTCGTGTTAAATGTGAGTGTTCTAGTCATACCTAGTGCTGTGCTGACTAGAAAATAAGCTTCTGAACTATGTGATGTACATAAGCTTGATCCATTGCTTTAATTAACTGTTGCCATTAACAGCATGCAGCATGATTCAGCTGCACAGGGACTTTTTGTGGCTAACTGCACATAATTCTAGGAGCCCTCTCATGTGAGCATTTTCCATGCATGCCTTCATGAATCCTGAGAAGCCACCTTCCTTTGTATCACTGGGAACTTGGTATGCTATGGGCTTTTTGTCCAGCTGTGGAGCAAGTCACTTTGATTATGATAATCCAAGCCTAGATTATTTTCTTTCCTCCTTTACAGAAGGAGAGTCTTTTTTGATGCTTCCTGCATCCTACCCATATCAGTCTTGTCCCTGTTCAGTTTTGTTCATTTATTGTCTAACCAGCTATGGGAAGAAAGAATATCTGGGAGATGTTAGACAATATAGAAGAGTCAGCTATTGCCTGTGCACTGCTACTGGCTGCAGAGGTCCTGTTTTGTAGCTCTCCCACCCAGTGTGATCAGTAAATGCCAAAGGCCAACAATCATTTTGAAGAAGAATCTAACATTCCTTGGCCTTTTTGATAGCCTGAACAATAATAAAGGAGGAATAAATAGGGAGATAAAGCAGAACTTCTTTATGTAAAGGGGAATAAACATATGGCAGGTTATTGGTGGTAAATGTAATTGCAACAAAATACCAGAGGAGTCCAAGAAATGCTTCGAGGTGGTTATAGAGATAGAATATTCAGAGACTTTAACAGCTACCAGAAGCTATGCAGGAAGTTCTGCATAACAGTCTGGGAAGTATCAATTTAGGTATTCAACAAAAATTATTATAATAACCCCTTGAACTTTAAAACCTATTATTCTATATTTGTCTGTAATTTTTTCCTATATGCTCTGTAAACCTGATACATCAGGAAGTATCTTCTTAAAGAGAACCAGTTCAATGGTACCTGCTCTTATTTGGACTATTTGCAACCACCATAACTTAATGATACTTTCTGTAATCCCCAGGTCAATAAATAGAAATGATTGAGATCAGAAGTGTCAATAATCCATTTTGCCCAAACGTCTTTAGTGCTAGAACTCCAAGGGTGAAGACAGGCTGTACTTTATGAAAAGGGAAGACTTTTACCCTTAAAGCAATTGTTATGACAAACTGCTTGGGGTGGGGCACTGATTCTTCCATACACATCTCATTTTTCCTTGCAAATTGCATTCTTTGAACTTACTCAATTCTCGGTCTGTCCCTGCAGCCTGACACTGTTTGCGACTGTGTGTGAAAAGACGGTGTTGAAACGGGTGCTGAAAGAGCTCTGGAGGGTGGTAATGAATACCATGGAGAAGCTGATTGTGCTGCCTCCTCTTACAGACCATACGGTAAAGCATTTTTCTCCTTCCTGACTCATAGCAGAAAGTGTTGCCATTGCCTGTGTAACTCATCTCCTTGACCTAATGAGTCATCTGTCCAGGTAAATTTGTCTGCATGTAGCCTGCTCAAGGATGGAAAAATATGTCTGTAACCTAGAAAAGTAAGAGAGCAGCTCTATTTATAGTAGGGTTGCAAGATACAGAGCACAGTCTAGATAAAAAACCAATTCAAAATCCACGATCTAAAAGGAGTTACCATCAAGTATATCAAATTACACTGGTTAGGGATTTGCAGTCCTTTAAAGAAAGCTGTGTATATGGGATTATCAGGCAGTTAGTGTTTTCTTCATGACATTAGATCAACACCTGTAAATACTTTTGCCTTATTATTGTCATCTGTTATTCAGGTGTCTCTCTGTATAGATGTGGTTCATTTGGGCTTGCTTTTTAATGCCATGACCTCCCCGTTTTACCCCACAGAAGGCTTTAACATCAGTATGCGCTGGCATGATTTCTGTGTGTCTGATGTTGAGTTGGAAGCATGTCCAGATAGTTTGCCTTCAAAGGCAGTCTTTTATATAATTGTTCAGCTGTGTGGATGTGCTGGATGAATGTGTGTCATGAATGTAGTGATGTTTTTAACAATGGAAGATTAACCTCTTCCCCAGTTTTGAGAAACCACAGAAACTGATTAAACGTCAGTCACGCATGCCCAGCTGCTCTGGAGGATGACACTCAGTTGGAGGCAGGGTGAAGTTTAGGCTATAACCTCATTATTTGGAGATGATCCAGAACTTCTCTTCTTCTCTGTGTTGGAGTGAACTTGTGGTCTGTGGCTAATTTATGCTGATTTTTTTTTTTTCCCCAGTAGTGAGTAGAACAATAGTGGTTTTCACTATTCAGCCGTTGCCTACATATTTTGAGTGGACTTCTTGGGTTGCAGTGTCTAGAGAAGTGATGCAAATCTGCATCTTGCACTAGGTGTTTCTTGCTCTGAGAGGGGAAGCCTTTGCCTCTGGCCTTGATGATGACAAGTTTAAACAAAACTGCTGAGACACAGTGTGCTGTCATACCTACTAAGCATAAATTAGCATGAGGTGTAAATTTGCTAAAGACTGCTTGTTCTGAGCTTGGATTTGGAGTAATCATTTCTGCTTGCCTTTTTAATTTATAAAGGAGAAGAAACCTAACTAAATTTAAGAGGATGAAATTTCTTTCCCTCTGTTGAATTGCTTTAAAATGGAGTCTTTGGGGACAGGTGCTAAAACCATCATGTAAGAGCAACACTAACATGACCCCTTCAGAATGGAAGCAGTGAAATCAGGGGCCTCGGAGAGAACCAGAGAGGAGCTGCTTGAGCTTCATACTTGCTAGTTTTGAATTTTAAAGGCAGAGTAGGAGAGTGATTCAGTGCTTGTATCATGAAGAAGGCAGTAACTGTGATCAGCCAGTTCTTCCAACCTGTGGGATGTTGCTACAAGCCACTTCAAGTTTTTTTTTTACAAGGCGTTTCTTGTTGCCATCACTTCAGTTTCAAATTGAGAAGCTCTTTTTGTGTAATGAAGCGCATCCTCAGTTTTCTGAGATAATGCAAAATGTTCATAGCTGGATTTTTAAGCTGTCTAATCAATTGTATCATAGTGAGGAGGCTGAACTAGTCCAAACTGGAAAAGAGTCACCGTTTCAGAAAGGCAGTTGTGAACAATGCAATGATTAAAATGGCCTTGTCTGCAGTCCTTGAGCAGGGAGTCTGTGGTGAGGCTAGATGAGCTGGAGAGGCAAAGAGCTGCTTCCACCATGCCCTGGGACATAGTGATTTATTCTGTCACCACCAGATTTTCATCATCCTAGTAGTGAAGGCTGGCAGGGCAAGGCAGGCAAAACTCAGGGTAGGTAGTATGGGCAGAAGCAGTACTTTCTCTTCGCTATTCTGCTTCTCTGCCATGCACCCATTATCTAATTTTGCTTTCTCTGAAAAGAAAGAGCATCAGACTCAGAAATAGCCCCAGGCACTGTAACTCTCTGTCCTCCCTGCCCTCAGCAGTAGAAAGCCCTAGTGCTGTCTCTTCATGTTTGAAGGACCACTGGATGAGGGTTTCTCTCCTAAAACTCCTCTGCAGCCCTTAAGAAGCAGGGTATATTCATGGTAGAAGTGTCCCTTTTATGGAGTATTTTCTCTCTTTTCTTTAAAATTGCTAGAGGTGCAAAAGTGGTTTTGATGGTGGTCATGGAAAGCATACTCAGGTAGAAGGTTCCTGACGCACTGCGGTGTGCCTCACTTGTTGCTTGCATAACGCTGTCACTGCACAGTGCTTTAATGCCTGTTATTCTCCTGTTATTCTCCAGACTGATCTATTCCACTTAAATTAGGTCAGCCTGTATTATACAGGGAAGAAAATCTGAGCTCTGCTCTTCCATTCTTTGCTGCTTCTGGAAGATTTTGTGTAGGGTGGGGCTCAGGTGAGAAAGCAGGTGGCTGCTGCCTGTGAAGGATACAGTGGGGATGGGGCAGTTTTACAGCCTCCCACTCTGACGACCTGGTGCCTTAATGACTATCAGATGGCTGACTTCTACCTCTCTGAGCATTTACTGCCCGTGGGTTGTGAGATTAGTAGCAACCTTATCTCCAGTAACTCACCGAGCAGTTCACACCTCACTAGTTTTAAGTAAAGATTAACATTTAATTAAACACTCTCTGTCTTGGATGAGTGGATATGCAAACACAGCTCTCTGAGAACCCTTATTTTGGGGTTCAGTGCACAATGCTTGGGGATATTAATGGATTAGTTACACATTTCTTTCTCCCTCACTGCTTAGGACGAAACTATAGCATGCCATCAGTGACTAGTCAGGACAATGAGGAGCTGCTTAATTTACACACAGATGATTCCTCTGGAGCCTCTCCTTTATTTGTTTCACACGGTATGATGCAGCCATTCACATGAGGCTCCACTTGTTCTTCCTCCTGCTGTGCTTTTTTCTACTCATCAGACTTCTTCACTAAATGAGAATGTGGTCCAGCGTAAGAGCAAAATTTTCTTTAAGCTGTGGACAGATTTTACACGTGACTTCCAAACTGGCTGTTCTTCAGGCTCATCTGCAAGCAGCCACTGCTCCAGAGCTATTCTGTGGTGGAGAAGAGTGTGGCTTTAAGAGGTTTTCTGAAACCTTTCTTAACTTGTGTTAGTTTAAATGAATCCTCTCCCTTGTGCTAGCTAAAAGTGAAAAAGTCCAAGGCTGCCTCTCTGATGAGGAGAAAAAGCTTTCTTAGCCTTGAATGAAATGATGGTCTGTGAACTGCACATGTGCCCAGATCTCTGTACCGACAGGTAATTATTTTCCCTTCTTCTTCCCCACTTTTAAGCCTATTTTCTCAATGTTTAATACACCACAACAGCTGAAAAAAAGTATTAATTTTTAATGGGTGGTAGCGAACATGATAAAGTTTTTTAAATGAACTTAAGTGCTGCTAATAAATGATCAGATCTCATTATTGTTGAATGTAGGAATTAAAAAAAAACTGGAAAAGGAATGTACAATACCAGGTGAAACTTCCTTGCACTGGTATGTCTCAGAAAAGTAAGCCTGAGTAATAACATGTTTTCCAAAAAACGAACTGGAATTCAAAAGACTTGCAGTAGGCTTTTGTTTCCTAACTTTGTCAACTAAGCAGTAGGACAGTTAAGCTGTGAGAGTTTTCGCCTCTTGGAATATAAATCAGTGCAGTTCTGTTGGCTTCTAGCAATTAGATTTGAGTCAGATGATGATCCTTCTCTGAATGCTTTCACGGAGTGGGAAAAAAACAGTCAGCCCGTTAACAAGAAGTTTAAAACTTTGTGTTGTGGACTATAGATGTCTTTCAAGTTTCCAAAAAGTTCAGAAAGGTGAAACTAATTTCATGGGAAGAACCAGGAAAACCAGCACTAAGGTCTGTCCCCTTCCCAGCTATGTTTGCGACAGAGCTAGCAAGAAGCAATTCATAACAAGGACTTAAATTTTCCTCATCTTCCATCCTTAACGTTTTAATCAATTCTGTTGCGGGCAGCTTTTCTCAAAACTATCTGATATTTAAGCTTAGTTGTTTTCATTCCCTAGAGGCGCACCTGGAATAAGTGCTGTCTATAGAGCTTTGTGATATGTTTTCCATGAATAAATAACTTTTTTTGAGGAGGTATAGCATCTTGTTTACAAGAATGCCATTTGGCAGAGGAAGGAGCTGTCCAGATTTTCATTAGATGTTACCAGCATTGATGACAAACTCAATGTAATGGGAAAATAACTTCTTGCAGACACATTGACAGAGATTGGCACTGATTGATGAGGATTTTCTTAGCAGGCAAGAACTGAGGAGTAGTTATCTGAGCAGCTTTGTTCCTTGAAGCATTTCAAGTCACTAGATATTGCTCAGTGTTACCGACCTGCCCTCCTTAGAAGCCTGCGGCAGGGAGACTACATGCCTAGGCTACTTAATGCTGTTGTTAAAATTTATATTTAAAAAAAAATGTGTTCAATGAAGGTTGAAAATACTGGATCGAGAAATGTTAATGTTAGTGTGTTTTGTGACTGCTCACTTAACTTTTTCAAAGTTCAGGTAATAAAGATGTTATATCTTGTTTCTGCTTAGTCAACAGGCATGAAAACCTGAACTTTTAAGACCCGTGAGTCAAACAAACTTCATGACCAATTGTACAGAACAGCAGGCGCATCTGTTGGGTACCAGAGCGCTGGCTGAAGCCATGTGCCTTGGTGGATTATTTGGTGTGGCACACAGTGGAATCTCTGTGTTGCTCCTGGTGTGCAGTCATGTTCAACCTCACTCACTGGAAATACAGAGAATTTTGTACTCTTTCAGTTTAGAGAGTTATACTCTAACACTGCACATTAGATACCGGCAGCAAGTGAAGCTCCCCATCTCATTTCAGAAGCTTTCCTTTATGGGTGCATTGTCCTTGCCTGCACTTTCTCCCCCCGCCCAAGAGTTGTGAATTTAATCACTTATCAAGAGCTTCTGTTTAGCTATGAAGTCAATAATGTTCATTCTGTATTGATTTGTATTCAACAAACATAAAAAGCTGAGGAATAGTGAGGGTTAGGTGATGGTTATGGATAGAGCAAATCAAGAGACTGTGTTTTCAGGTCACAGAGTCTTTTCAGCTTGAATAAATTTCTGAAGCTGGCAAAACTAAAGAAAAAGTATCTCATCTAAAAATTCACTTCTGGACTGCTGTTGTAATGGGCAGAGGGTGTCCCTAGAGCGGGTCTCAGTCTTTCCAGTACTACAGCTGTAAACTGTTTTCATGCTTTCCTTCTGTAAAAGGGTACCTGCTACCTCTAGCAACAAGTATAAAGACACTTTTTTGCTGAGGGGGAACCCATCAGTGCGGCTGATGTTAACTTTAATCCTAGAAAAAAAAAATTATTTCAGCAATGGTCTTTGCAGTAGAACCCAGTTCCCAGAGTCTCCTCTGCAAATGCATGTGTGGGGTAGTTCCTGCTCCACAGAGTACTGACTTAAAAGGCAACAAATAAATACCAGAGAAGGCAGCAAAGAAGACAAACTGTGTGGCATAGGCAGGGGCAAAGGGCAGTGTAATAATTCTGGTTTTACGTCCTGCTTTGTTACAGTTTGAGGGATTTTGGGGTGGGGAGCAGTCATGGCAGTTGTGGTTAAGTGGGAGGGTGAAAGACTGTTTAGATGAGAAAGGGTAGTAAAGCCGTGGGAAGGAGGGCTGTGGAAAGAAGCACTGGATTTACTGGAGACTTTCGGGGAAATGTGGTCCACATGGAGCCATCAGTTCCCAAAGAAGATGAGCTTCATCTTCTCCCAAGTATTTTCCTGAGCAAAAAGACCCTCCTGGAAAGTGCCACGCACCAGGGTCTGTCCCTGGAAGCTTAATTCAGGCATTCAGCAGGGACATCCCTCAGGCACTTCTCCACTGATACCTGTCATGACTTCTACACGTACTTTTAACATGAGCTTCTAATAACCGATTACAAGCAAGAAGAGCCAGAGATCATCTTTGAGAGGGCAGCTCTCCTGACATACCTAAGGCATTCCTGAGAGAGATAATAGAGGGGAGGTTTAGTTAGGGAAGAGGGGTCACCCATAGCTTTGGCTTGGTCCTAAAGCCCAAATGTGACTAGCCTAGGAGGGCTGAAGTGGAAGGCAAAGTTTCATGATATGATAGATGCACGATTCATAGCTAGAATCACAGTAGGCTGGGGTTTTATTCCAAGTGGAGTTATAGGCAGTCATGACTTTTTTAAAGAAAAAGGCAGGATTAGGTGAATGAAAAGGAGCAAAGTGGAAGAAAATAAATTCCAGCACACCCCATGAAGCATCTCTGGGAGAAAAGACCAGAGAATTCTGTTGTTTGCTTTTGGTTTTCTCGTTAAAAATTGGACTTAACTCCCCAGGCAAAAGGAATATTACACAACAGACAAATGTTGTGGTGGGGAAAAAGGAAAATATCTTTGTCGTAACCATTGCAGAGAAAGTATGTTAAAACCCATTACACTAGAGTGTAAGTGACTTGAAGCAAGATTTCCCGTCGTTGGGATTTGTGTTCCCTTTTTGTTTCTTCATTGGTCGTACAGCATCAGTAACCCACAGTGGGGAAAGAAAAGCCATTGCCAAGCTTTTGATATGTAAAGGCAATGCTGTAGTATTCACTGGACTTTGTTTGCAATCTTGTCACATGAAAACTGCTCAGATCCAGTTTTGTTTCTGACCTGATGTATACCTACCCCCACCCCATTGGTTGGGCTCTACTTCTATAGAGACAGAGATTGTCGTCAGTTGTGTGATCTTTTGCTTTGTTATGCCATCTTCATCTGTAGTTAGACTTGACTTGAAATCTAGAGGAGCACTTGCAGACGAAGTCAGTGCACTGCCTTCACCCCCAGCCTGTGCAATCCATTTGAAGGCACATCCTGTTTAAATGGGTGGCCGCTGTAAACAAGAGTAAACTAGTTAGAATATTGTGCTCCGAAATAGCTGTTAATGTGGTATCCACGGAAATGCCAGGTTTTATACTAGGTAATAAACTGGCAAGGAGTTAAGTTGTTGTGACTGGCCTTGGGCTGGTTATGTAAAGCTCTGGCTGTGAACTGGGTTGACTTGCTCAGAGGGAAAACAGGCAAAGCTTGTTTATAACCTTTTTTTTCCTTCCTTTCTTTTCTAACTTCTTGCAATCATAGGGCACACAATTGATTTTCAGTGCTGCTAAGGAACTGGGACACTTGTCAAAGTTGAAGGTATTGTTCTGCGTGGCTTGTGTTAAATGTCCGTATGTGTAAGCATGGAAGTGTAGTAGCGCATGGCATGTCTTGTGCTTCCACTGGTTTGTCACTGAATGCAATTGTAGAGAAATGCTTTTAAATGCATTCTGCTAACATTAGTATTATGTTTAACTTAAATTTTATTGCGGATTTAATCATCAAAGTAGTGTCTCTTTTCTGTCGATACAGTGATCGGTTTGGTGTATCAATTTAAAATGAAAAAAAGTAGAGTTCTCAATATCTGGCCAGTTCCTCTGTATCCCCATGTATAAAAGGAAGTCCCTTATGTGATCCTGATAATGAGATATCGGTCGGAAAGATGACTGCTAGCTATTGATGAATTATATGAACTGTTACAAAAATAACTTGCTTATGGAAGAGAGCCTGTGTCTGTAAATTCTGTCTGCGTGGGCTGTCTTTACAGGCAAGCTGGCATTTAGCATGAAGGCTATGTTGATGTGTTTTGACAGTGCATGACGTGACAGTGCATGACATGAGCATTACTAAGTGCACACCACCTCATCATAAGCCAATCAAGCATTAATTCACTGGTCACGACGGGAATGGTCTGAAAATAATGATGCCTTAAAACGTTCAAATTGCACTCTGTTGTGGTTTCACTTGTGCTACAAAACAGGTATTGTGCAAGAGGAGGTGTAAATATGAGGTGTCACAGTGCACAAACTGTGCTGCAAGGAAGACGGAGCTGAACGTGAACTCTGTCTTGGAGCATGATCAGGGAAATCCTCTCACAGCAAAGGCCATTCTCCTAAGTGATTAGTGCAATTTCAAAATGCATTCGTCTTTTCCCATAACTTTTTTTTGTCTTGCGCACTTATTACAGCTGTCTTTATGTGACTATCTATTTCCGTTGCCCAGCAGACACGCTTTACGTAGACACATTTATGAGCCAGGACAGTACACAATTCATTTAAAGTAGTGCTTATTAGCAATCCTAGTAAGTGATGTGGACATGCAGGTGTGACATTAGATGCACACACTTTTCTCCAGCTGCATTTTGAGGCTGTTACATAGCAGTTAACAGAGACATAACGTAAACTTTCAAGTGTGGTTCCCCAGGGGAATAGCTGTCACTTCTGCTGGGGCACAGCCCCAGCACTCCCACAGCCAGGCTGTCCTCCCTGGTGACATGGTGGCTCCCAAGGATTGCACTACCTCTGCTGCTTCCTGCGCTTACAATGCTCTGTGTTGCTTCCATGGAAGAAATGAGGAGAGAGGAGCTTTGTAGCCAGCCTGGGAGAGTGGGAGCTAGACCACAGCCTGCAAAAGTGACTCCCTTGTCCTGTGAGTATCCCCTTCCTCTTTCAAAAATATCAGCAAGAACACAGCATTTGGAGGAAGAGAAGACATCCCTGCCTTCTACATGCACTCCTGGTGTCAAAGAGGGAGAGCTCTGAATTTGCTCTGTTTCTCCTCTGGGGTCACAAGGACAAGTTTGTGCACAGACAAGTGTTCCTGTGGCTTGCTCGCATTCTCAGGCATAGCCAACGACATTCAGTGTTACTTCTTCCATATTTTCTCATTACTGGAATTTATTAATGTATACAAGGTGCCTTTTTCCAGGAATGATTTGGAAGCTTTGGTGGTTTCCATTTGCACTGAAGGCCAGATGAAGGCCATCCCTCAGCAGCAGCCTGTCTTCAGTTCAGTTACTGTAAAGCTTAACTTTGGTAACTCTGGACTGCGTTTTTAGAAATGCACGTAATCACGCAAATCAGCCAAGCCCTGGTGTGTGTTCAAGCCTTTATTTGCATATCCACATGTAGGACTACAGCAGCTCAGGTGTGCAGGATTTTATATGTGACAAGAGAGCCATACACAAGTGTGAAAGCACTCTACCACCTGAATTCTGGAGACCTTTAGTTCAGACAGATGTGTGAAGCAACACTGTGAACAAAAATTTCCAGAACAGTAAAGGTGTTACAGGAGCATAAATTGTTTGGGTCTGTGTAAGCATTGTGGATATTCTTTTTTTTTTCCTTTTGTTTTTGCAGGCACATACGAGCTAACAGGGAAGGCATGAGTAAATGGCTCTTCAGAGCCTTACTCCTGTGTATTTTTGCAGTTCCACTAAAAGTCTGGGAAAATTACAGGATGGATTTTAAGCTTTATTTGTCTTAAATAGAACAGGAGGAACAGAGCCCTAGTGAATCAGATAACTCAGCTGAAAACTGAGACTAACAGACCTGACAAGCGCAGGCTCTGGTCCTGAAGACAGATCAATTTCACAGTGTATTTTAAAATCCTCAGAAAACCAACCATAAACCTGGCACCTTGGTGCCACATATATGCCTCACATTTATTGTCAAACTCTTTCTGCTCCATTTGCTTAATAGCCAGCAGCTGGAGCAGGGAGCAGCAGCCTCCTCTCCCTCGCACTGCCCCCAGAGTAACCAGCCGATCTCTGACCGCAGAGGTTCTTTCAAGACTACCTGTGGAGAATATAAGGATGACTGTGAAACAGGAAGAGATTTTTTTTTTTTTTTTAAACTACTTCTGCTTGAAGTTGCATAATTATTTGATGTAAATATTTGTGGCTTGCTTCTGACCTGGCAATCTGGGAAGTGCAGAGTAGCGCACTGTGCTGTCCTTTATAGGAACAGTGTGGGATTTGCAGAGGGCAGGTGTGCAGGGGAATGACAGTCGTGGGCTCCTCTGTGTGTAGGTGTAAGCACTACCAGTCCAGTCACTGGCTTATTTTTACATATGTGTTGAAGTAAATGGCACTGGAAAACTCTCTTAGAAAGCAGTAACATGTTGCTGTGCAATGACAGCATGGGCATCGGCGGGGTGACCGCTCAGAGCGGGGCTGAATGAGCTCTTTAGGTGTTTGAGAAAAAAATGCCGACCACCTGGTTTCTGTTGCAGTGTGGGGAATCTGGCAGGCAGACCTAGAAAGTCATTTCACAGACATGAAAGTCACTCTGCCTTGGGGACACGGCTGTCCTGACTAAATTGACCTCTCCCATGAACAGAACATGGCCTTAGGCTCTGACTGATTGTCCACTTAATCTGGCTGTCAGACAGAGAAAGGATGTTTTACCCTCTGTGTACCGAAGTGTGAAGCCACATCATCTTCGATTGACTTACTCCCAGCTCCTGAAGAAGAGGGAGGAGAGCTGTCGCTCCCCTAAGGACAGCTTGTCGCAACAGAAGATAAGTTGCAGCTTACAGAGTATTGTGCCACTGCACATAGCTCCCCAGACCAGGAGCAGCCTGTGTTGGGGAAAGAGGCAAGTTGAGGCATGTCTCTAGTACTCAAGAAAGCATGATGCAAGCTTGTCTGAGGTACTGCTGACGTGCGAGGCATCTTCTCTACAGTTTAATACTGCACTGTACAAAGGTGCTAGCTAGATGTCTGTGAGAAGCGTGGCAAATGCCTAGCACTGTGTCTAGATGGCAGTGAGCCCCGACTCCATCAGGCAGCTGATGGATTGTGGTGGATAATGAATGGGAACAGCACCAGGCAATGTGAAGAATCGCCAGACTGCAAGATAGCCAGCAGGTTTATCAGCATGAAATGCTCACATGATGCCACACACTAGGTATGCTTTACTCAAAGACAATTTAGTAGACATGTCTCCTGGAAAGTGTCTCTGATCAGAGGCTATGACACGTTTAAGCTAGGGATAAGTATCCTTTGCCTGATTTGCCTGCAGCCTTCTCATGAATGCTTCAGCACCTAGGCTGCAGCCAGCTGGCCTGACCCTCCAGCAGCTCAGACAGTTAGAATTTGGGTTTGTGCAAAGCTTTCACTCCCTAAAATGTGCTGTTTTTTTCCCTGAGACCTAGATTAAGCATTAGAGAGAAAGAGCTTGGTGAAATACCAAAGGATGGCATGTCCTTGTAGTCAGGCAGGAGTCTTAACACGGATACATTCCCACTGCAGGAAAGGGAATCCCTTCCCAAGGGATTGCTGTCCCATTGCTATTAGAGATGGTGGGTCTTAATGGGAACTTCTTTTAGCGAAGGTATTTTCTGGAACGTGTTGCTTGCTTGTTTGTTTTTCTTCCTCTACACCAATAATATGATGAATTAGTGACCTTTGTAGATGGAAGAATTAAAAAAAAAATCCATGACCAACTTCAAACAACTTTGCCCAATATCTGGTTCTCAGAATTCCTTGATTTAGGTGGTGTTTTGGGAGTTTTGTTGTGGCTGCTCTAGAATGACAGGGGTAGCAAGCAGACTCCTGTTTGTGTTTTCTGAGAGACAAACTGTGATTTTAAATTGTCACTTACCTCTGTCCAGTTCCTTTCCTTATTCCTCTCTTCTGTGCCTGCAAGAAACAGAGAAAGTGGGTTTATTTTCAAGTTAGCTGTAATAAATTACTCTCAGACACTCCATTAACTGTTCCTTAAACAGCTGAACTAATGCTGTGGCCACGTAGCCACAGCATGAATCCAGAGAAGGAGGTGATACTGGGGCCTCCTTTTCCTTTACTTTCTGACAGCATACTCATGTCAAATATAATGGTTTTTTGCAGGATCATATGGTGAGAGAAGAAACTAGGAGTCTCACTCCAAAGCAGTGTGCTGTTTTGGATCTGGCACTGGATACTATCAAAGTAAGTGATTCCATTTCTGCTTCTGTCGTCCCCTTGCTCCATCCCCAAATATTATTCGGGAGGATAGTGCCTGTCCCATTTCAGGAGATGGCAGGAGTCTGTTGCTCCTGTTACAGCGATAATGGCACTGAGTGATACTGCCATATTTGTGTAAACGTGAATAGGCTCAGGTGACTGGCATGTGCTGGGAGCCAGCATGTTTATATTTAAGTGCTTTGGAAGAGGAAAGCCATGAGCAGTTGGTATCAGTTGGTCTAAGAGCTGGATTTCCAGTTCAGAAGCTGTTTTGTGAATTTTTCCAGCTCTTTCCCATCCACATACACAACAGCCTGTAAATGTTGGTTGCTGGTTGCAATTCTTAGTATTTTTCCTCTTTCTTTTTACTCTTAGCAATATTTCCATGCTGGTGGGAATGGTCTGAAGAAAACCTTCTTGGAAAAGAGTCCAGACCTGCAGTCACTTCGATATGCTCTCTCTCTCTACACTCAGACCACAGACACTCTCATAAAAACCTTTGTCCAGACGCAGACAGCTCAGGGTAAGACTGTTTTGTGGTGTTGGCAAAGTTGAATGGAGCTATCTGCTCTGTTTGTAATTGCTCTGTCTTGTACTGCCAGTTTGTAGAGTGCTCTTGGCAGTAATATTTCTGGAAACGTGACAGTTCAGAGCTTTTGAAACTGGGAAGGAGGGAAAGGGGGTTATTTCCCACTCAACAACTACATTTTGAGAGAGCAGAAATATGTGAAACATAAGTCCTGGGGTGTTTGTGGTCTGTTTTTCTGCAATCCTCATTTAACAGTCACGTTTCATGAATTAAAGCGTGTGGGTGACTTAAAAGAAGTGAAATTTGAAGTTACTGTACTGAGACTTACACAGTGGTGAGAGAGACCATTTCAGCAAGATGCCGTGCAGAAACTAGTCGGTGCCTGTGTCACAGGCCAGCTGCCAGCAGCCCGTGTAGGTCTGACTTAAGGCTGATTGACAGCAATGTGATGAGTCACAGAGCTACACACAGCCTGTAAAGGGAAAAGTCTGTCAGCAGGGTAGCAAAAGCACTGTTTTGTCTGCAGCCAGTACAGGGTGTGTGTGAGCTAGATGGTTACAAATCACCACAACATATTAGTAAGCTGCTGGGATGCAACGCCGGAGTTCTTTGGTAGCTCTCTGGGAAGGCATGATAGTGGTGCTATTTCATTGATTTGAAAGGGGTAAACAGTTAATTGTCTCCATCTTTCATTGCTGTCATGTAAGCATCTCCAGATTGTTGTACAGAGTAATTTGGTCTATAGTCCGGGACCTTCACTGGCTGACTGTGAATCTCACTAATCTCAGGAAGAGGGGACAGATGCTATTACAGGTTAGGTCAAAACTGAAACTGATGTTCAAGTTTTCAGGCTGTTTAAATACAAGCCTTGGCATTGGGCTACTACATCTCAGCAACAAAAGTCATCTCAGCAACTCCATGGGGGTGGGAGCGTCCTTCTGCCACCTTTTTGCTTGGGGTCCTTTTTCCTTTAATCTTTCCAAGCCTATGAGAGCTGGCAACTGCACAGACTGTACTAGCTCTGTCAGCATACTGTCACACCAAGCCCTGAACTCAAGGGGAAAGCACTCCCTAGCCAACGCACTTTTCCCTCATGTGCAAATGAGACTGCTTGATACTGGTGTTCCCCAACCAGTGGAGAAAGTACTGAGAATTCTTGAGAGGAACAAGGTTTGGTTTTAAAGTTTTAAAGTGAAAAGTGGAGTGTAGTTTTGGGGGACTGAATCATCCCTGCCTTTAACAGTACTTCTTGCTTAGGTTGAAATATACTGCATTAAAACACTGAAGTTAACTAAAGAGTCAGTACGTGCATTTGAGAGAATGGTCCTATAGCTGTGTCCCAGCAGAGCAACGATGACATCCAGTGGCCAGACAGGTCAAAGGCTGCTACATCCACAAGCCAGGAACTTGGCTGTTGCCATTAGAGTTATACACACACTTTTTGACCAGGGACTTGTGTGCGCAGTATGTTTTCAATGTTTGCTATTCTATGGCAAATGTTTCCCATTATGTATCCAGACCATGAACTGAAGCTAGTTTTTTATGTGGATCCTGTTATGTTGTCATGATGAGCTAAGATTTAAGGATGTGTGCAACACTGCTGTTCTACACTCCATGCTACAGTCAGGAGTATTTAAAATTAGAGGAAGAAGATGCTCTGTTGAAGTTGCAAAGTGGCAAATTCAAAGGTTATATGAGGAAGCAGCTTCATGCAATGCATGATGTGATTGTAAAACAGCACTGAGCGTGAGCATTTAGCAGGTACACAGAGAATTCAATATAATCTGAGAGCAGCATGTCACAGAAGTGTGTGTGTTGGGTGTTTTTATTTTTTTCTTTAAGAAGCTTATTAAGAATGAAGCTCTAATTTTAGGACTTAAGATGCACTTGTTTACAAGGTCATTGATTATATCACATAGCTGACTGATGACATTTCTTTGTGGCTCTCTGAGCCGCTTTAGGAGACAGGTACTGGGCATGGTGGGCCACTGAGCTGGTCCAAATCAGCTTCTTTTACATTAGTAGGCTTGAGAGTTTTGGACCCTGTTTGGGGAACAAAGGACTGGAGCTACGCCACCTATATCTGTAAGATCAATGACGGAGTATCTCTAAGAAAGGCATGACTTGCTGCTGAGGTTGGGGCAAGAAAAGGATATTGCTTGCATACACTTCTCAGTAACCCCTGTTGGTAGATTGGTTTGGAGACCTGCACATGTGTTGGAGGAACAGAAGGGACAGCACTAGTATTTACACCTGACATCCACTTACCAGAGCTGTCTGACTGATGTTTCTCTTTGCCTAAGTCAAGTTTCCCACAAGTCCATGGGAGGAAATGGCTGCATGCAGAACTATTTAAATGCTGACTGTTTGCCTCTCTTACTTCACTGCTCAATGGTTGCATCTTCCAGTTTGTGAGGTATCTGTTGCCCTCATTTTCTTACTGAGCAGGCTTCTATACCACTATGCCATTAAATGTTTGCTCTGCAAAGTTGGGTCAGGGCTTGCAGTTGAGTTATGCCAGCACAAATTCTGTTCTTGTTTTAACCCAGTCAATCCCTTACTCGCAGACAACCTTGCTCTCCAAAGCCTGTGTTGGTGCAGAAGATCTAATAGGATATTTTGTCTTTTAAGAGCTAGAATATTTGTCTTGTATTTGTTTAAGTGACACTGCTAATTGGATTGTAATTCACACTCTTCTCTCTTTATCCTGCTTGCTTCTTGCCTTTTGAATTCATGTCTCAGTGCATGATGGGAAAGGTATTAGGTTTACCGCTAATGAGGATGTTCTTCCTGATAAGGGTATGTTCAAGACTAATGTTGTTATGGTAACAACATTAGCCAACTGCCTTGCTTTTGAAGTCATCTTGCCCATGCTCAGAAACCTTTTCCAGAGACCCGTTCCCCATAGCTCCCTGTAGAAGTGAACTTGCACTGAATGCTTGCAGCCCTCAAACGGACCCACGGGTTGTGCGGTGTAGAATTCTGTACCCTGCCTGAGAGCCTGTCCCCAAGCTTGAGATTTATTCATGGGATGTGAAAGCTGCATCAAAAATGGACTGGTTTTTGAGAGATGCTATGGACTTGTTCCCCTACCCTTTACCATGAGCTATGTATTGCTGTTTCAAGTCCTAGACTTGCATGCATATGGTCTGTTGAGACGGGCTACTGTAATACATGGGTAGTGTCTCAAGGTTATGCACTATGCACTCAAGGTTATGGCCGAGCTTGAAACATCTGGCTTGAAGGGGGGTAGCTAAAAGTCTGGGTGCTCAGGGGAGCCCTAAAAAATTAAGTTTTGTTCTGTTTAATCTCTCAATTTATTTTCTGCTGTCCAAAGTCTTTTTGTTATCTTAATGAAATACATCTGTAACACGTTGCACGAGCTCAGTTCTGCAGTTTCACCTTCCAGTATCACAATACCAACAAGACTTTCATGTCAAGATTTAACCCTGCTGGTCACTAAATGTGCAAGTATGTGTATATACACAGTTGCACATGATAGGAATATTTTTTACTGGCCATCTACAAAGTGGTTTTTTGTCTCTGAATATTTCAGTTAGTCGAACAAGATTTTAGTATGAAAAGACAAGAATGAAGGTAGAAAAAAAAAAAATCTAAATTTTGTCTCCCTCAAAGGTAAGCGATGACTTTGCTGTCATCTGAAGCATCAATGTCTCCTTTATAACTTATTAATTACACTAAAGATAGTAAAATGAAGACCTCAGTGTTTGGCAGTTAATGTTTCTGCAGATGTGGCCTGATAAAGTTGTTATATGCTGTTGGTAATCTTGTCTGTTCCCATGGAAAATGCCAACCATGTAAGTGACAGACCTGCACCATCAGATGGGTCAGATCAATAATTAAGCCTAACAATTTTAAAGTTCTGTGCTTGTACACAGAAAAGAAGGAACACTGCCCTTCTAAGCAGGGAGAGAACAGTACATTCAAGACCATGTACAAATGTTACAGCCTAGAGGCTGTTTATTGTACTCAGGTCAAGAATGAGAATCTACCTTAAGATAATAATTTGAGATTCTGTTATGTTTATTCAGATACTTCTGCTTGTATATTAATGTGACTTTCACTGCCTACTATTCTATGCCATGTAATTCTCTTCAGAGAATTGCTCGGATTAGCTCTCAACCTCTTGGTTTTTAAATGAGCATTTTTGCTGCCTGCAGACTGTTCTTGTGAAAGTTGATGTGTTAGATCTATCTAATCAAAATGTTTGTTTCATGATATCCTTTAAGCTCCGTATCTTGAATTTCACACACACCAGTTCTTTCACTTAGTAATGTGTGTTAGCCTCAAAACTGACAAATAACACTGCTGTTCGTAGGTACCCAATTACCTTGTAGGAATCCCAATTACAACAGCATTGCTAATTGTCAACCTAAGATCAGACAGTTATCAAAGAGAAAGTAAAATCAATCTCACTATCTTATCAAAGACTTCATTTTCATTTTGCAAAGCAGCCTTTTTCTATAATTTACATGACATCTTGACTTTCCTACGCAGAAAAATGTCATTTCCACATATTGCATGATAATTACGCTTAAAAGTTAAAAAGTTGAAAACAACATAATACAGGAATTGTAAGGTTCATGAGATCTTCTCCCTCCTCAACATGTTATCTTTCCCTCTGTCAAGCTACATCTTGTTTTCTCCCTGGCTAATTGATGAAGGGAAATAAGTATGCAAGTTGTGAGTGCTTCTCTCTCATCATTTTTGGTGCACAACAGTGAAGGGATTCTCATTATGCTCTGAAGGGAAGCAGATAGGCAGTCAGGATGACAACTTTTATCTGATGTACAACATGGAAAAATCTTCTTGGAGGGTGAGACTGCACTATGGCTCAGTGCAAGTCACTAACATCTTTGTCTTTTTTTCCTAAACTTCCTCTCTGGTGTGTTTTTTTTGTTTTGTTTTGTTGGGTTTTTTGGTTCTCCCTTCTTCCCTGAGCGGACAGGAATGCTGATGCCCACCACTGGAATGCCTGCATGTGCACACAATAGCTTGGCAAGAATCTCTGAAAAATCCTTGCTCTCTGTGAGGGTCCATTGTCAGGCTTTAGGTCTCTTAAAATTCTTTTAAAATTCTTGCTAGTATTCTCAACAGGATGCAATCTTTATGGTGGAGTGCAAAAAAACGTTAGTGTTTATGTGTGTTGGGCATGCAAGCCTGATGTTATTTTGCATTAATGTTACATTATCGATGTTGACTGAAAAGCTGGCTATGGAACGTGTACTGTGAAAATGATGTTTTGCTGAGGCCATAAACCAAAGGTGGGTGCCAATAAACAATAATCCGTGTGTGCACGGGGGGGTGTCAATTTTCTTCCAACAGGCTCTGGTGTGGATGATCCTGTGGGTGAAGTGTCCATTCAGATCGACCTGTATACTCACCCAGGAACTGGTGAACACAAGGTCACAGTGAAAGGTATGGCAAAGCATGTGTTACTGCTCAGGTTCTGTGGCTGTGTCAAGGCAGATCTCCAACTGGCAGTCATTATATTTCTGTGTTAGCTCATGTGATGTGAATCCAGAATTGTTTTCTCTGTTTCACATCAGGAACATGCAGAGAAAGAGCAAATGAGCTTGTCCAGTCCAGCCAGTGACATGGCAATGTACAGTCCTGTTGTTTATTGGCAGTGATACATGAAGTAAACAAAAATCTCGTGATGGCTGTAACTGGGCGCCACAGTTTAGCCTGTGCTGCAGGGAACAGGGCAGCATGACAGGGCTATGTTGCGAAATTGCTCAGTGTAAACCGAGAGATCGCAGAGCCAGTAAGAGTTCAGAGGCTCCCCTTCCCCATCCTGAAGGGCACATTGGTCCCTGAAGAGTTGCTCTGAAAATAACCAAAGCAGTGATTCATCCCAGGCTTCCTCTTCCTCCTTCATCTCCTTTGCTCAAATACAGCATATTTAACGACTTGAATTTCCTCTAAAGATTTATATAAACAGCTTCTCAGGCCTCTCTTCTCCTGGCTAAATCTACACTGCAATGCAAAAACTGATTTTCAGAGCTATTTTTGTGCTTCAGTCCACTCCCTGCAGTGACCTGAGAGAGAATGAAAATTAAAGAGCTAATAATTCTGGGTTCTGGAACCACCCACAGCTCATGCGCTTTGTTTGTCTTATCTGCAGTCTCATTTTCCTTTTCAACAGAGACCTTGATATCGGCCCCCAATTTTTTTCTCATCCCATGCATAATGTAGAGTTAAGCACTGAACTGGCAGGGCAGCCTGCCCAGAGCTGCATGAATGCCTGGGTTTTTTGACTAAATTCTTGACTATGCATACGGAAAAAGCTAAGTGCTGTCCCAAGCATTAAATTCCCTTTACAGAACTTAAACTAGAGCAAAAAAGCATATCTTTGTATTACAAAAAAGTCCCACCCATGTGTGCCAGGACACTCACATGTTTTGAATTGGACTTTGTCCTCAAGGTCAAGTGCCAGGTCCTGCACTTCGGTCACAACAACCCCATGCAACGCTACAGGCTTGGGGAAGAGTGGCTGGAAAGCCGCCTGGACAAAAAGGACCTGGGGGTGCTGGCTGACAGCCGGCTGAACATGAGCCAGCAGTGTGCCCAGGTGGCCAAGAAGGCCAACAGCATCCTGGCTTGTATCAGGAATGCTGTGGCCAGCAGGAGCAGGGAGGTGATTGTCCCCCTGTACTCGGCGCTGGTGAGGCCGCTCCTGGCATACTGTGTCCAGTTTTGGGACCCTCCGTCCAAGCAGGACATTGAGGTGCTGGAGCATGTCCAGAGAAGGGCAATGAAGCTGGTGAAGGGTCTGGAGCACAGGTCTTATGATGAGCGGCTGATGGAGCTGGGGTTGTGTAGCCTAGAGAAGAGGAGGCTGAGGGGAGACCTTATCGCTCTCTACAACTACCTGAAAGGAGGTTGTAGCGAGGTGGGTGTCGGTCTCTTCTCCCAAGTAATTAGTGATAGGACAAGAGTTAATGGACTCAAGTTGCACCAGGGGAGGTTTAGATTGGATATTAGGAAAAACTTCTTCACAGAAAGGGTAGTCAAGCATTGGAACAGGCTGCCCAGAGAGGTGGTGGAGTCACCATCCCTGTAAGTGTTCAAAAAATGGGTAGATGTGGCACTTTAGAACATGGTTTAGTGGTCATGGTGGTGTTGGGTTGATGATTGGACTGATGATCTTAGAGATCCTTTCCAACCTTAATGATTCCTAGTTTTTACTTGCATTAAAAAATAATCCAGCCACCAAGCCAGGAAACTTGAAATTATTACTCTACCCTTAATTGGTTTAGTGGTGGACTTGGTAGTGTTAGGTTAATGGTTGGACTGGATGATCTTAAAGGTCTTTTCCAACCTAAACAATTGTATGATTCTGTGATTCTGTGATTCTCTGAAACAAGAAATTGAAAGCAGAGCAGAGCAGAAAGGTGTCCAGAGCAATGGGAACAAGTGAGTATTTACTGTAAAACAGGTCGTGACTCTCTTTTCCAGTTGTGGCAGCCAACGACCTGAAGTGGCAAACATCCGGCATGTTCCGTCCATTTGTTGAAATCACCATGATTGGGCCTCATCAGAGTGACAAGAAGAGGAAGTTCACAACCAAGTCAAAGAGCAACAACTGGGCTCCCAAATACAATGAAACCTTTCACTTGTAAGTGTGAAAAATAGCCTCTGAATCTGATATGGTAAGTGCAGATGCAGAGGACAGATAGGGTTTTCCAGTGTCCATGAACAGCCTGCTCAGGGCCCAAAAGAGTGCTTGAACCAGTAGCTTGGCCAAGTGTTTGGTGTCTTGGCCGGAAAAGCTAGATTATGGGAATTTTTGTTGCGGTTGTGATGCTGAGGTCTGTTCTATACCAGCAGTGTCCTTTGGCTACCTTCTGAAACATGTCATTTGTCCTAGCAACATATTTTACTGTGCTCCATCATTTTAATGAACTTTGTGTCTTTTATTGATGGAGTTGAGGCTAAAAGTTCATTACATATTTTTAGTTCTTTTAATCTTAGTGTGTGTTTTTATCCCAACTTGACCTGTGGGACATGCTTTCTGAACTTGTTTCTAAGGATACAGCCCTTGGAACCGGTAGTCAGTTGCACTGCTAAAATTGCGGTCTTCCTTAACACCACGTATTGAGCTCTTCTTATATGGGATCCATTATTAAAAGGCATCTTCCTTCTTGGAAGACTCAACAAAGGGAGCTACAGACTAGCGCTCACCCAGCTGTACACTAAGAATGAGAGAAGAGATGACCAGCAAAAGACTGTAAACATACTGGGGGGAGGGGGACTGTCCATACAATTTTTCTTTGATGTGAGGAAAGGCAGGCTTCCTCTAAGTGAAGAGATTTTGTCCCTTTTTTTATTCTTTTAATTTTAGAAACATCGGAAACGTTGGGAATGTATTTTCATTAGCTTTTGCTTTAATGGAAGGTTCTGAATCTTTAACAGAGACTTCATCTAATTAAAATACTAATTACTGAAATGAAGCAACCTTGAACAGAAGCAGAAATGTTTAAAGTCATCTGAGTTGAAAATCTATTAGTGTGGCTTTAATGTTCTCCACTCCTCTCATTTCACAGTTTAACATACACACACATGCAAGAGCAATTTGATAAGGGTTGTTCGTTTTTTCTTTTTAAGTAGCCAGGTTGTCTTTATCAGCCATGAAACAGCAAAAATGCCCACACACCATAGTTTTTCCTTCTCCCTCTCTGACCAGGGTTTTCTGTAGAAAGGGGTTTTCTGTAGAAAGGAGTTTTCTGTGGCTTATCTGAACACTCTAGTCAGCTGCAGGCACCTTTATTTTGCAGAGGAATTTATACATTCTGAGAAACTGTAAGTAAACCTGTCTGTGTTTTTCAGCATACTGGGCAATGAAGATGGCCCTGATGCCTATGAGCTCCAAGTCTGTGTGAAGGACTACTGCTTTGCTCGGGAGGACCGGGTACTGGGGATAGCAGTGATGCAGCTCAGAGACATAGCAGACAAAGGAAGCTGTGCTTGCTGGTGCCCCCTCGGGCGCAGGATTCACATGGATGAGACTGGGCTTACAGTCCTGAGGATTCTCTCTCAAAGAACCAATGATGAAGTTGCCAGGGAATTTGTGAAGTTGAAATCTGAGTCCCGTTCCACGGAGGAGGGCACCTGAGCTGAGCTGTGTAATGTACCCTTTTCCTCTTCTGCCTTGTGCCAATATGTGCGAGTGTTCAACAATTCTCTTTTATTAATTACAAAAGGTTTTTTCATGTTGTCTTTGTCAGCTCCAATAGCGCACGTGTGCTGTACAGGAAACAAATCCATCAATCTGATGTGAATTATTTATTTTTTAGTAGCTGAGTAAGAAACCGTAGAGAATGAGACAATCTCTTCTTATTTAAGATGCAAATTCTGCTTTGTGTATATAAATTATTTTATATTGGAGGCTGGGTATGCTGGATTTTGTTGATATGCAGCACTGTGATTTTACCCTCTGAAGTTGGCAGATGTTAAAAAGGTTCTACATAATCACACTATGATACAAACACACAACTGTGTGGAAATTGGGAGAAGAATGATTTGGGGGTTTGGCAAAGCACAGTTATCTCTCATTGAATTTGTGTACTGTGGAGCTGCCAGGGGACGTTCTGGCACAGATTATACCAGTGTCCCAACATGATACGCAGACACCTCAACGTCTGCTTAAAAAAGAAGTTGCAAATTGCTCTGAAGATGCACACCACACGAATGTATGACCATGGATGTGCTGCTGTGAGCATGGGTGAGACCAGTGGGATAAGTGCAGAGGGGCCTAAGATCTCATAGCCGAAAGCTGCAAAGGCCACACACCAGGAGCAGACTGTAGCTGCCCTGCTGTTGTAATTAGATGGTGTGTCTCGGAGAATATAAATCCCCATGCGCTGCTGGGGATCCCGCATCACCACGGGGGTACTGTAAGCTGCTGAACTCCGCAAGTCACACTTCAGCTACCGTGACCAACATGGTAAGGAAGGGAACAACATTAGAGCCATGACAAATAACATGGCTGCTATATAGTTTTTCCCCTTCAATATTCTTCTGTTAGTTTTTTGACACAGGATTGGGTAATTTAATACTTGCAGGCTTTCTGTAGCGTTTTGTTACCCTGGAGTAGCTGAGACCATGCCTCACTATGAAACCAGAAATGATGGCTTGCTTGGGAGAGAGCAACACATCTCCCCTCTGCAAGCCCTCGGTCTGGAGTGCTGGTCAAGGAGCAGCAGGTCCATTCGGTTCTGATCTTGAAGTCACTGTTGGCCATGCTGCGGCTGATCCATGCTGATTGTCTTTAATCTGTGATTTAATAATACCATTGAAAATATTTTTGCACTGTCTTAAGGAAGCGTCCTGGTTTTGTTTTCTTGCAAAACAAAACACTGTCCTGAGCAAAGTGATAGCAGGGAGGTTAGAATTTCTGACTGAAAATTCATAAGCAGGAAGGTCTGGAGTAGTGATTGCACCTGAGGTATGTTTGTTAGAGGGTTTTTATTCTTTTGGGGATCTTTTGCTATTTCCAGCTGCCCTGGTACTCTGGAAAGTGCAGCTGGAACAAGCCAGTCCTTGCCCATAAAGTACTGTAATACTGTCAATAAATTCAAGGACTGCATATTGAATGACTTTTTTTTTTCTATTTTCTCTGACACTTGTACAGCTGTATGATATGACTCCTGTATTTCATGGGCCTGCTTGTAGAGTTCTGAGATGGCACATCTGCTTTGTTCTTGTTTGTGGTATGTTATAATAATGCTCTTCAAAACTCCACGCTATTTGTCATGATTTTGAATCATTGTACGTGCCATTGTTACAAGAACTGTTAGTACGGTCTTTAATAAACTGTTTTAGCAGCATTTGGAGTTGTCTGTTGAAGTGTAACTGTAATTGGGTTTGCTAAATCACATGGGACGGAATCGCTACTTCATCTTTGCAAATTACTCTCATTTAGTATGTAGATATTTCTTTGGTGCTGTAGATGCCCACTGAGGGGTATGAGTCAGACAGTTCCCCCCTCCTCCATGGTGCCTCCATCTTTGACGTCATTCCCTGAAGTTCTTGGCTTCTGATAACACACTGAGACATCACAGAAAAGCACAGAGAATAACTGACTTCCTTTCTTTCTCCTGTCTGGCCTTTAAGTTGAGTTTCCTTTGTAGTCTGGTAGGCTCCTGAAGGTACTGAACGGAGAGACTCAGGAAGGCAGTAGGATACTTTACAGGTAACATGTTAAGAAAAATAATTATATAGCAAACTTGATTCATAGATTTCAGTCTGATATGAGTATTAATACTCTGTAGATGGTATTGACAAGAGATGAGAGAATAAACCTTCTTAATGTTGAGTAAGCTACTCCCCCTCCTCATTTTTTGGGGATGCTGCCAATTTCCAGCAGACAAGCTCAGATAACTCAGAGACTCATATTTCATGATAATGTGGGTCTTTGAATTTTTGTCATCCACGATGCAGTTTTTTCCTTAGGTAACATATGCTCCGCAATGCAAGTAACTTGGCTAACTCATAGTCCAGCTTGTAGCTGTATTTCTGTTTCTGGCTTCATCATGGGGAAATTACCGAGTTTGACAGCATATCCCATGTGATGTGTTGTTTAAAGCACGACTTTAAACCTTCACTTCAGTAGCAAGTTAGATGGTACACAGGTTTCCAACTCATCAGTATGCTCGCTTGTCATCGCTTCAGCGAGCGCTGCAGCGGAGAGAAACCAATAAAGAGTTATACAAAGGAAAAGCACTGTCTGTAACCATGGGGAAGAGGCCTGGGCAGGGCAAAAGTTTTGGCTGTTATTAACAGAGCCAGGAACCCAAGGCTCCTGAATATATTGCTTATCCACCAGTCTAGTGCTTCTCCTGCAAACCAAGTTTGTGAACTTTTTAATCAGAAAATCAATTTCCATAAGCATTGCTTTTTAACGTGTTTGTCTAAAACTGTCTGCCCTTATTGCCTTGTTTCTTGGGTTTACACTCATTGTGATGCTTTCAAACTTAACTTTCCTGCCTGAAAAATCACGCAGGCTTCAGCTACAAACACTCAGACTTTTTCTTGTACCTGGGGCAACAGTACTGTGTTGTGCACATGGCTCTCTTCACTCTATCTGCACACTCCTCAAAATGATAGCTGGATATAGGGTATACACCGTGTGTACCTGTCCTGGTTTCAGCTGGGATAGAGGTAATATATAATACTAAATATATTGAACGAATAAATAGAATACATATTTTATAAATACATATATGCTGGTGTACCTGGGGTGGAAACAACTATCCCAACTTGGAAAAGGCTGTTCCAAGAACATCGTGGCAAAGATGACAAGCAGCAGGGAGTGGTAAGTTGCCTGCCGTCCCATCCTGGCGGAGCCTGCGTAGTGGAGCAACGCTAACTTCAGGTGGGACAGAAGAGAGGCGAGAGATGAGCTGGATGTTGGAGGCGCGTGGGTGAATCTTGCCGATGGTCTGACTGTTCTTGCCCAGGGGCTTTTTGCTGAGTCTGTGGTGACAGCACAGTGGTTTCAGACCAAGAATCCGTCCAACCCTGCCTCCAAGAGTGGTTACAAGCAGCTGTCCAGAGGAAGAGTAAGGATGAGGTAAAATAATGATGCTTCCTTCTGATGCACTTTAAGGTGCTGGCAATTTTTAGCTCAGGGGATGTTCTTGACTCCGTGATTTCTCTTTAGTAAGTCCTAAGCTATCCTCCTATCTCCCTCTGAACCCCTGAAATGGAGTTCCATGGATTTACAGTTTGTTGCATGAAGACCTGTAGTCTTTTGTTTTGAACCTGGTTCCAACTAATTTAATTCAATGACCTCCATTTTTGTGTTCAGAAAGATGCTAAAGTTCTGGTCCTACCCACCCTTACCTGGGCAATGGAGATACTGTAGACCTATATCATGTCCCACCCTAGTCATTGCTTTTTGAGGTGGAAGTGTCCCAGTTTATGCAGTGATCTCAAACCTTACATAATCTTTGCCCTTCTTTGAACCTTTTCTATTTATATGGATCATTTCTGAGCTGTAAGGGCTAGGAATATAAGGATGACAACAGCCTCCAGCATTCAAACTGTGGACCGGCTTCTGGGAAGAAGCCTTCTGAAAGTAGAAGTTCACTCCTAATCTTAAGAGCAATAGTCAGCAGTTCAAAAAAGCTTCCAGGCTGCCAGCAGAAGAGCTGGCTGGGAGGCTGCTGGGAGGACCAAGGAGCCGATGCCCTGTCAGACCTCCCTGGTGACAGGGAGACATTTCGTAGGAACTCAAAAGGGGAAGTTCAAGAGGTTGCTGCAGCTTAGGTTTGCACTGAGTAACGCTGACTTCCCGCGAAGAAGAAGCCACCCCACTGAGATTCAGTGGATGGTAGAGAGCTGCTAACAATCATTTTATTTCTACCCTTTATTTGAATAGATGAGATAATTTTCTATGAATAGAGAGAAAGAAAGCAAGCCTGGCTTTTGGACTTAACAGATCTTTGGGAAATTCCCTTATAAAGCTGTGGCCAACTCAGGGCTCTGACACTGTCAGAAAAATGAGTTGGAGTGAGAGAGCCGGACTCGAAGGGATGACGTGTGCTTGTGAGCACGTGATGGGGATAGAAGGGCCTTATGGGGAAGGATGTTGTGTTCTGGGTGTGTGATGGGAGAGAGCGGAGAC